AGTTGGTCAATGATCATTGCCTTGTCCAAGCATCTACATTTTTCAGCTCGTAAGACAAACCATAGACTTAACCAAAAAAAAAAGAAAATTAAGACAAAAAAATCAGGATTGAACTTCCAGGAGAAAAGGGTTAGCAATACAAAGAACTTTTAGCGGTTAGAGATAGACCATTTGAGTTTGATTTTAATAAAGTATTTTTAATAGTGCGAGTTTAATAGATTAGAGAGCCATATAATTTTGAAGGATTCAAACTCAAAAGACTCACCATTATTTGACTTAAATTATAGGCTTACTGTGTGAGTTTTATTTCCAAACTCGAAAATTTCGGCCACTGTAAAAGGCCTAACGCAAATCATGTTGATCATACATGCCTTAGTGCTAGAACCAATACAAATTTAAATATTGTATAAAGTAGGGATAAGGTGTCATGTGGTAGACATAAAGTTCCATATTGATTTATATATAATTTATAAATGTAACTATTTGAATCACAAGAGATGTCATCAGAGTGAAATTTTGTGTTTATAAAATTGCACCTAATTAAAAATAAGATAAGGCTTATCAACGTGGTGGCCTGTGATCATACCTGTATTGACTGGTATGTGCTAAAGTCCTCCTAGTATCATGCTGACTCTCGTCATCTTTGTACACACCAAAACCAGTCATGAGTGTTCCATCCACGCACCGCTTCCTCGCTGCCGCCACTAGCACCTGAACCACCTTGGTGAAGGGGCTGCCTAAGGGTCCCTGCTTTCTGTATCTCTTGTAACCCAACAGAAACAGAACCAATGCCACCACCATTGCCCCTGTCAATATTCCAAACCCCGCCGCCCACCCAACATTATCCTGCACCAAAGCATAGTCACTAATTTTGGGATTCAGCATTTCAATAACCATTCACCACTTTCTCTTTCTAAAATCACAAAGTTGCGTCCTCGGTTCTTACTGGTTGTTAGTCGGTTTATTACTGGTTGTAAGTAAATAAGGTTTAGAGTCGACTCATGCTAGAAAACAAAAGACTGTTAATGCTAAAACAACATTTGAGTTTAAGTGGCTAAAATTTCAGAAAACCCCTATCTGTGCTTGCAAATATGATCTATGTTGACCTGCACATATATGACTGCCAAAGTAGCAGTGGAGGCACCAACAACGATCCCCATGTACCACCAGTTGAAGAATGAGCTCTTCGCCTTCTTCTCCTCCGGCGAGTCTTCATCAAACTGGTCGGCCGCAAAGGTTTGTACACATGGTTTGTGGCCACCTTGCCCAATTGCCAAAAGGTAAAGTGATACAAAGAACATTGCTTTCCGATAATGCCGAGGCATTATTGAAACCGTTAAGGTTAACATTATCAGTGCCTGAAATTAATATGAAACTTAGCAATCATGGTCTGAAATTAAAAGAGTAGTAAAATAAATGAAAGTTCTGGATTTAATTGTGGTGTCACATTTTCAGAGTTGATCAATAAGTGTGGGGGTTTCTATACAAAATGCATCGACACAATTAGTAGCAGAACCATTCAATATTATAAGTTTTCATGCTGCAACAGACGTACAAAGCAATAAATGATTGATGAGCCGAGAATGGTGTTGAATCGACCGAGAAAGGCATCGGCGACGAAGGCCCCGATTATTGGGAGGAGAGATGAAACTCCAACCCAAGTGTTGACATTCTTTGCAGCCATGGGGATGGGCTCATGGAGTTCATTTGTGAGGTATGTGATGAGGTTTCCAGCCGTGCCATAGTAAGCAAATCTCTCTGCCATCTCAACAACTACAACAACAAAATAAATTACCAAAAAGACAAAAAAAGTAGTCTGAATTGAATAGTTGTAAGAAGATGAAAAGGTTGGCTTACAGATGATGAAAATTGCAGCACTCCAGCCACCTCTTGAACTGGAAGGTTGTTCTTGTCTGATGAGATTCTTCTCTGTGTCTTCACGGCCACAGTGAATACTTAGGTGAGATGGAGATTCAGAGTTCGCCATAGAATATTTGTGTCTTTTTATCAAACATGGATCAAACAACTATTTTCTAAGTGAGGTCACCATTTTGCTTGGCAAATATACTTAGCAAACACTCACATATATACAGGATCTGTTTACCGTCAGATTCACTGTATTTTTCCAACCTTAAATTTTCAGGCATATTTATAGTTCATGTTATGCATTCCAAAAAATTTATTGTGCATCCAAACATTGTATATTAAAAATAAAAAAAATACTAATGAACAGTGCACAATTACAATATATTTTTGACTTACTTTTAGTTATGATACTTGCACTCTTCACAAAATCTTACTTTATTCTCTACACTTTATGTTGTCGCATTTTAACTCTTGTGCTCTCCTTTTGTGTTCCATTTTACCAGTCTGTCAATTGGGTTGAAGAAAACGTTAGTTTCGTTGACATGACAGTTACTCTTTGGTCTTTTCACATTTGAGACATTTGAAAAAACCTAAAAAATCAACTTGGCATGAAAAAGCATTGTTCCAAAAATCCTTGCATAGCGCTGCTTAGGCGCTAGGCGGTTGGGCACCGTCCCAATTAATGCCTAAGTGTTTGAAAATTAATTGAAAGGGTGCCTAGACCTGCTAAGGCGTCCGCCTAGGTCGTGACTCACTTAAATAAAAAATAAATAACTTTCATTTTGCATTTTATTTTTTTCAATAAATTATAAGAGACTTGTTGCATATTTAAATGAACACACTTTATATCCTTGCTCCCCATGTTTTCATTATATTCCAATATTTCATAATATATATGTCATTATATTTTGTAGTTTATGATGAAATTATATATATTTACAGTATATGCATACTGTCACATCCCAGCCTGGGTTGGATCACTTCTCGGGCCCGCGCCACCACCGTAGCACAATATTGTCCGCTTTGGGCTTACCATTCCCTCACGGTTTTGTTTTTGGGAATTCACGAGCAACTTCCCAGTGGGTCACCCATCATGGGATTGCTCTAACCCCCTTCTCGCTTAACTTCGGAGTTCCTACGGAACCCGAAGCCAGTGAGCTCCCAAAAAGCCTCGTGCTAGGTAAGGATGGGAATATACATTTAAGGATCACTCTCCTGGGCGTTGTAGGATGTTACACAGACACTTATTTACATGAAATATAATAGATTTACTTAAATACGCCTAGTCCGTCTAGGCGCCCGCCTAACCACCTAGACACTAGACTCCAACCCGCCGTCCGACTAACATCTAACGTCTTTTAGAACCTTGCAAAAAAGAACTCAAAACTCTCCATCCAAATTCCCTCTTGGCAACCTTAAATGTTATATTTCACAAGATTTTCATTCACCACTAGAAAGGCCAAGACCCCGTGTCTCATTAGTAATGCAAACGTTTTTATCAACAAAGTTGACGATTTAAGATAAAATGAGATATGTAATAAGAGTATAAGAAGTAAAGTCAAATAAAATAAAGTATAGAGGTAAAGTGAGCTTTTTGTGAATAGTACAAGTGTCATAACTAAAATATAGACAACATATATTTTTGAATATTTCAGGAAAAATAAAAATTTAGAAGTGTGAATAATACCACCTAATTATAACATGTCAATTGTCAATGTCATTTTATATAGACACTAGTGCGCACAGAGGAGACGTGAAAGTTTGGGGTTTTGCTGCCAGTGGAGGGGTTGCTTTTCTTAATCAGCAGTGGATTAAAAAATTATTAGTGTGCTTTTATGCTTTTATTTACAAAGTTGTTTGTTTATTCTCAACAATTTTTCCTACCGCAATCAAGTGTTGGTTTGGCCCACCAAATTCCGGGAAGATACTTTAACCCGGTCAAAATACATTCAAATCACAAATTATTTAAATATGGAATGTCCAGAACATGTAGTTTTGAGAAAGGAAACAATTAACATAATATATCAATTATTATTCTCCATTTTACAAACCATATATTTTTTATAGGAAAGAAACAAGAATCCAGTTAAGAAATGCACATAGTGGAACACCTGCAGCGTCTGCCATCTGTTGCATATGATACCTGATCCCAAGCATAGCATCTCTTGCTCCTAATAATGCTTTAACAATGATTTCTTGGCTTGGTTTAGAGACTTGTTGTGTCCACTGTACAATTTTGTAAAATTGTAACAAACATCAATGTTGGGCAATACAAGCAGCAGGAAGTTATAGGGTAGGGAAAGTATTAACAGCAACAATTTGAAGAAGCCAAATACACAAACTTCACGACACGGTACAACATGACATGTCCAACAAATCCAAAATGGGACACTTGTCTCAATTTTGATTTTATCATATTAAAATTCGTTTCTCAGAGAGGACGAGTAAAATGCCTTCTCTGATTTGAGGATGCTGCAGCTGTTTTTCAAGCTTTTATATTCTTCCCAGTGTTTTTCTGGTCTCTCAACTTATCAAAACGTGTATGGTCTATTTCGTCAACTTCGTTAGAAGTTTGTCAAAATGAGTTATGTTGGAAGGACCATTACTACAATTGGGTTAAAGGTAAATGACCATTGCTCCAATTGGATTAAAGTTGAGGGACCAATGGTAATAGATTTTTAGTTGAGAGACCATAACTGCACATTTTGATGAGTTAAGAGACCAATGGTAATAGAGTTTGTCAAATCCCGGCCCGAGCCCCCACCACATCACGGGCTTGACTCCACTATAGCACGATATTGTCCGCTTTGGGCCTCGACCACCGCCTCACGGTTTTGTTTCTGGGAACTCACGAGCAACTTCCCAGTGGGTCCCCCATCCTAGGGTTGCTCCAGCTCAAACTCGCTTAACTTCGGAGTTCCGATGGAATCCGAAACCAGTGAGCTTCCAAAAGGCCTCGTGCTAGATCAAGATGGGAATATACATATAAGGCTTAGAGGATCCACTCTCCTGAACGATGTGGGATGTTACAGATTTTTAGTTGAGAAATCATTGGTCCAATTGAGTTAAAGTTAAAGTACAATAGCTACAATTTACTCAAAAAAGAAAGACCCATAACAGTTATGTCACATGCCTTGAGAAAATTGGTTCTACTTGAGAATTGAAATTTAATTTCCAACTATTATTCTGCCTTAAAACAAACATTCTTCTTATTAACTACAAAAGTTTACAATACAATTTCTCAACCGATGAACGCAATCTAATTAAACCATATCGGGCGCGTAACAGAGCGTATGTGATTCCGTAAACCAACTCTATGAATCCATGACCAAGAAGTTCGGCTGACCATACTCAAACACCCTGTGATTGATTCTTACACACTTTCATATCCATAGGAAGAGCAGTCTCTTTGTCTCTCTTCATCATCTATCATACAAGCTAACTTTGGCATCTTCAAACATTCCTCATTGCTTGCCCTACAAACAAAGTTAATGGCGAAATCGTCAGCCAAATCGAGCCATAACTACATCGAAAGTTCCAACCTTCAAAAGGGTAGTCAAGCAACTCTTTGGAGATGGCCATTTTAATAGGCCGTGATTTAAATGGCATATCAAATGAAAATGTCTTTGCTCACTTGTATGTATGTGTAACCTGGAGTGTATACACTTATGTGCCATCTCTCTCTCTTAAATGTCATGTAAGGAGAGAGAGACACAGAAAGGAGTATACAATCAACTGCGAGTTTCTCTCAGATGACTAAATTTTCTCCTTGCAGACCGTCTCTAACTTAACCACTCAACGCATGTGCTTGAGGACTTTTGAGTCCAAATCTCTCAGCGGAATGTATGAAACTGCGACTCTTAATATTTCATCAGATTGAACCATTTGTAAATTTGTAATCCAATGTGAAACAAATTACTCTACCTAAAATCTCCTAACAAACTTTCTCATACAAGGAGTGGGGGGGCTTACTTGTGAGTAGAGGAAGGTTCCAAGGATTGCAATGGCTGCTCCGAGTGCGTTGACGGGTTGGATAGGTGTGTGGAAGATGATGATGGACGCGACTATGACGGATATCCGCTTCATTGTGTTCCCAACGCTGAATGTTAAGGGAGATATCTGATCTAGTGACATGTATGAAACCTGATTATACAAGTGATAGAAGACACTCTGTGCCACCACCCACCTGTTAACATATAGATGTACGTATTAAATAAGTAAAACAATTAAGGTGAAAGGTAATTAACGGTTTAATCAAGCAAAATCTCAGTTACTTAATCTCTTCAAAACTTTTATGATCCACATTAGCAGATAACTAAAACTAATGCAATTCAGAAAACAAATTGTGCAGGAGTCAACAACTAAAATCACCATCTAGATTAAATATTAGATTAGCAAATGATTCAATGCGGAGCTGAATTTAGTCAAGTTCGTTAGAATTGTTTAAAAAAAACACAAATGATTCAAGGACTCCTCTATGTCCATCACCAAAGACAACAATTTTACAGACAGTTAGAAGTCATTGTATATTTACCATACGAAGTTGGGACCGATCTGCGCAAGAGCTGTGTTCCATCCAGCAGCCCACATCTTGGGTCCCTCCACGGCGATGGCAAATGGAATCAGGATCAGTAGAGACAACATAGACAGACAAGCATAGTAGTTCATCCCACTAACAGACTTGCCCTTCATCCCTTTCTTCGAAAATATATTCCTGAACACGAATGCCAGGTTCGATATCATAGCCCCCATGAACCCTGATGCAAATATCAGCATACTTTCAGTCCTCATAACAATTTAACACACCAAAAGCACTAAAACCCCAATTTATCAAATCCCTTCAAGATTTTTCGTTGTAATATCAAAATGCGGCGAATGTTGAACAAGTTTTCTCACCAATCATGTTGAAATTGAGCTCGGTAACAGCAGCGAGCGCGCATCCTCCAATGATCGGAAAGAGCGAGAGGTAAACTGGGAGAGGAAACGTTTCACCTAACAAGAACCTCGAAACCAATACACTGAATGCAGGCTCACTGCTCTTGATGATGTGAGTGAACGAAACCGCCACCTTCGCCATGCTCACAGTCGCCGCAACATGCCCAATTGTATGTGCCACCGCAACCTGCACACATAACCAAAACAAAAACAAGACAAATTAAGAAAACAGAGCAGCATAATTAGACTTGGGAAAATAATTTATGCACACCTATGCACATTACGGCTTATTTCTGTCCCTTATTCTCCGCTAATTTATTCAATCCAAAGACCAATAAAAGAACAAACACAATATGCATGGGAGAAAATAGGTGTGCGGACATCATTGCACTTTTACTTACCGGAAGCAGAGTCTTCCAAAAATCTAGATCAGTTTTCGGGGCCTCGGCTATCCTGGTGGCCCATGAAACGAGCATCATGAGCGATCCGGTTGCGAGGGAGAGCGTGGAGGTGAGCCATGGATATGGAAACACATTCAAAACCTTCTTGTTGTAGATATTGAACACAACATTAAGTGCCCACCAGGTAGCAAAATATAAACCAATTTTCAGCCTCTGGGCCGCCTCCTGCTGGTCCGGCAACTCAATGTTGATTTCCAGAGGCCGTGACTGGTCCGCCTCGTAGGCCTTGCAGACGGCGGTTCCCTTCTCGGCTTTGCCCGCCAATGCGAAACAGTCCCCGGAAGATATGTGAAGGGGTTTGAGGGAAGAGGAAGAGGAAGAAGAAGCGGTTTTTTGGGCATTGTGGAAATTGGGTAGTGATAAAGAGTGAGACTTTATGAGGCACCTCCGGCTCAAGAACTCCGGCGACGCGAAAGCCGGAGTTCTGAGCTTCACTGAAGAGATCTGCATGGTGGGGTTTGGGGTCTAGATTCAATAAAAAAAGTTTCTTGGGATTGATTTGTAATAAGTTGGTGATTACTGAAAGGAAAGCTTTTGAAACGGTCTTTCTTGGGATGCATGTGAGAGGCAGGGCAGGAGGGTTTATATACGAGTTGAAGGAGGGAGGGAGGGAGGGAGGGAGTTGAGTGGAAATTTTGACCTAGTATTTGTTGTTGACAAACCACTACAAGAAAAAATTTTATTTTTGTTTTTGAAATAGGAGAGGGTAAAAGAGTGATATAGAATGTGGGAGTGGGAATATTTTTTTATTTTATTTATTTTTATTTTAATTAGAGATATATTAGGATTACATGTAAGTGAGGCATTGAAAAAAAAAATAACGAAATTTGGTTGTATGAAATTACATTTATGCCCCATATTTCTTATTCATGTTATGTTTTAATTAGAGAGTTAAATTGGTAATTTCATAGGATTTTGGTTGACAATGAGTGTTTTATTAATTAGTAGAGATATTAGAAAGATTTTTAGCCTTCTTTTTCTAAGAATTAGAGGCTCACTTGAGCAGTTGTTGAGCCCTAAGATTAGATATTTTTTAGTGTGCTAGGCTCGGTACATCAAATATAATAAGATAATTAGTTAGAAATTTAGAAGAAAAAATAGTTTCTAACCAAGTGTACTATGACACTTAGTGTATCAAACCGGAATTTTGACATGCTAAATATTTTTCTGTAACGTTTTGGTGATGTCTCATCATCATTTTAAGGATGGCCACCACATAATTGCTCCTAGTTTGATGGCTATCGGGATTTGGATGTGTCATTTTCAATGATATCATAAAGTTTCTTCTAAATTTTCTGTAAATACTAGTTGAATAAAAAAAATTTCCGGTATTTGAAACAGAAAATTTCCTGTAAAGTCTGAGCCTCTAACTAAATTATAACTTATTGACCAAAAGAATAAGCTTAGCAACAACTTGCTTCATTGATTCAGGGTTGTCGCCTAAGGAAACATACTTCCACTTCCATCTTTCCCTTCCTTCTTCTCAGAGTCCGTTAAAAAATCTCACCCATCTTTATTTGGAAATACCGACATCATAACAAACGATATTATATTTTAATTTAATTTAAATTGCCAGAAGAAAATTTTGAATCTAAATTTATAACATAAGCACTTCTACTTTGATTAATGTGGCCAGAGGCGTACAAGGTGGTCAGATGACTCCCAAGCCCAGCAATCTTTCACGGAAGAGCTGTAGGTGCAGTCTTTTAAAAATATGAGATGTTCTTGAAAGTTGCCCTCTAATTGCTCAACGAATTTACTTTGATGGGCACTCGGCAAGGTAACTGCTAGCCTCATGCCTTTGTATGCGTTGTCATGGGTATCTGTTGATAGGCTCACTCGTCATATATTGACATTTGTCACTATGCTCACTCAAATGCTATTAACACCAGTCGGCCTGCTCGCTCGAAAGTTATTAGCATCTTTCGACATGTGCAATATAACTTGAAAAATAACCTCAAAACCAACAAAGACTTGATGAAATGTCAATTGGGGTGGCCAACCCCCCAAAAAATTTCCACCTACTTCTACAACTTGGCCCATTTTTTTCATTCACCTACTTATCAAGCTACCCAAGATTGATTTAACCAAACACAGTACTCCAGCTGCTGCTGCAAATTCTGGACCGCAAACTCAAGCCACGTTCCAAAGTCTACATGTAAACGACAACACTTTGAGCAGAATGATTGAGAAGAAGCACAAAATATCTGATACCTGGGGCCTCTCGCTGTAAGGCACTTTGTCCATGCGTTGCAATTTGCATTTGCATTTGCATCCCATGTTGTTCTTAAAATACACAACATGATGCTGATTTCCCAATGTTCCTTTCAATATTGCGTATTAATATATTGAACGATCCAAAAAAAATCCAATGAAAAATGTATTTAATTGACTCTACAACAATGGTTTGGTTTGATTTGATTTCAATTATGATTTTAATTAAAATCAAACCAATTTGTTACAGAGTAATTGGTTTGTCGTTATCTAAATGTAAAACCAACAAAAACCCGGCCCATGCCTAACGCTAATTTACATCTCATCATTTTGCTTTAGTAATACATGGTTTTAGTATCGAATGATCAAAATTTTTTAATTATGTGTTGAAATCTTTTAACTAAATCCATTACGTAATAATTGGTTTGCCGCAATTTGTATATCAAACCAATACAAACTGAACCGTGCTTGCTCCTAATCTATTCCGACATCGTTCTTTTCAGTACAATACGATTTCTAATGTTTCTTAAAACAATACATCATATTTTAATTTTGAACGATGGAAAAAAATTGGACTAAAATGTTAATATTGACGGCTAATGTAAAAGATTGTACTAATTAGTTGGCCTAGTTGGAGGTTTGGCTGGCTGCTAACGACAGTGGTTTTGTTTGCATTAAGGCTGTATTATTTGACCGGAATTGTATTTGCGCAGGCACGAGTTGTTTGGCCGTGGCTGAAAGAAGTGGTAGGGGACCTTTCTTTGGTCTGAGCCTCCGGTGTCGTTTTTAGGTTTGGTGGGATGGGATGGGTACACATGCACGTGACTTTAAGGCAGGTGCGTTCGCAAGCTCACGTGAACAAAGTCAATGGTATCTAACATTCACATCATTGTATAATGTTACAGATTTTTTTTTTTTTTTTTTTTTAAATGTAGAAAAATTTGTTGATAGTTTTGTCATGATAGTCTATTTTTTCCGTGAACTACCGAGAGTTGAGAAGACTTAAAAAGACATTTCAACCCTTTTCTGACCACCATCCATCGTGTGTTTCACCCAGAACGGATCTATTAAGGGACCGAGGTGATCCCGACTCCGAGACCACCTGAAAGCTCGAATGAGCGGCTATGGGGACTATCAGGTCTGGGTTGCGGCGGAGGAGCAGCCATGGCTGCAGATTAAGTTGTAGGTTCTGCTATTGCAAACGGAAAGAGGAAGAACAATTTTTTTTTTCTTAAATGACTTGGCCAAAACGACGTCATTTTGAGCCAAGTCATTTAAAGCTAAAGGTTAATCCTAGTTTACCATCCAAAAATTTTTTGGTTTTCAACATTTGATACATGAAATTTTTTTTCGTTCTAGTCTGGTACCTAAAGTCATAATTCTAAAATACTTTCATATATCTTTTAATTTTCCGTCAGAACCTCCGTTAACTGATGACGTGGCATCCACATGAACAATGATTGAGCGCTACGTGTCAATATGAGCCCATGTAGATATTAAAATATAAAAATAAAATAATAAAATAATATAAAAAAAATTAAAATCTGGAACATCAAATGTAAAAAGTAGAGTTTCACCAACTAAAGCAGATAAAATATCCATTGGTAATATTTTTACCCTGCTAAATAACAGCTTAAGCCAGTAATCCCTGCTAAATTACACAAAAGATTATAGCAAGTCAACAGGTTCAAAAGGAAGGCATGTCAAAGCACGAAGCTTAAGTCGAAAACATATATTAAAAACTCAACGAAGCACAACTTCACAGCTTCCTGATGCTCTCGGAAAATCAAATACCTGTTTGGTGATCTCCGCTTTCTACTCTGCCCCCGCTGTAAAATACTTGGGCCAAGATATATCCAGCTTCTTCAAGACCTTTGCATTCTTCAGCAAAATCCTTACTGCGTTAAGCTGGTTATACTGATCTCCATTAAATTCACCGACTTCAATCCTCTTAAGATGTGACAAGAAACACGGAGGCAGTGGCTCCAACACCCCCTCATCTTCTACCCATTCCGGGGACATGCCAATCCACTGTTATCATCAAACTACAGTCGTTATACCAACATTACATGCAGACACGATACAGGAGAAAAAAAATTAGTGTACGTGAAGTTACCTCAGCAAATATCAGCGTTTCAAGATGAGGAAAGTACTGAAGCATCGTCAATAGTGCTTCGTCATCAATAAATGCTGCGTCTTCCAATACAAAAGTTGTCAGATTATTGAACAAGGGCATCCTGGAAAGAAGTTCTGGTGCATTGTCTACAACAACCTATCAACAGGACTTAGGGATTTTAGACAAGCGACTTGTACCACAAAATGCTAATGCAACAGCAGCAATTTGTAAACACGTATTAATGCATCAAATTAACAGGTGTGATCAATAAAACATGAAGAAACCATACCCGAAAGGCATTATATGAGGAGAAAGTTAGCCTCTCCATGCTGGTGAGCCCTCTAAGGAGCTTACACAACCGGTAACCAGCATGTCTCAGGTTCTTATTAGAATCATAAGAAAGATGGATCTCAGCTTTTTTTTATGAGGAGGAATCATAAAAGCAATACTCATTTTGGAGCTCACCCCTGTAACAAGAGCTTTGGAGACTAACTTCATATATCATAAACTGACAACCATCTGAACCTTCAGGAAGTATCATATCGCTTTCATTTATAAACAATGTCAAAAGCTTGGGGGAACAAATACTCACAAACTTGTTATTCAACCAAATGCAATTCTCTAGATATAATTCCTCAAGGACCGGACAACCAGAAAACAGACGCTGCGCTGAGTCATCAGAAAACACCACAGGACCTAAGAGAAAAGTTCTTTAGGCTTGAAAAACAAACGGTAGAAGGAACCTTGATCGGGAAAGGAATATCTAAGTCACAAACCGTCAGTGTTCTATTAGTAAACAATGAATGAGGTAATGAAAATTGTCCCTGTAGGCTATGGAGATAGATATAAAGTTCCTGAACATTGCGCCTTAATGTGGCAGAAATCCATGCCTTAACACGACATGCATCACCTAGCACCGGAAAAGTAAGTTTGAACACTTTTATAGTCAGCAGGGCCGCAAAGAAGAAGCGCTCTTTCCACAATATTCCACAGGGTAGATCTTGGAGTAGACGGCTGAGGACGAAATCCAAGATTAGGAATTGAAGTCCATAAGTATTCCCATCTTTTCGACAATATGCTTGTTCTGATTGCATCGTTTCAAGTAGGGAGATAATTGCTAGAAGAATCTCACCAGGCAAATTGAATAATTCCTTTCTCCTTCCTTCCATCTCTTCTCCACCATCCAGCTTCTGCCTTTTTGGGCTTAGTATTACAGAACTTGTCTCCATAGTTCAGATAGTTTCCTTACTATACCAAACAAACTCTCGAGGTAAGAAATCACTTGAAAACTTGTTTAGGAAATGATAGAAACCTTATAATTAACGGCAAGTGCAAACATTCAGCTAAAAAAAGTGAATTGCAGCAAAAGGACCTATATATATTCGGAATTTTATTATGCTTTAAAAGTGATTTACAGAAAATACAGCCATTGAAAACTTATTACTCAAAACAGAAAGATTAACTACAGCAATATAACTCCAAGAAATACAAGAACCAAACAGAAAGATTAACTACAGCAATATAACTCCAAGAAACACAAGAACCATATCAAAATTGTTCATATATCGATGGCAAGAACATAATCGCTTACACTGACTATTAGCATTTCGCAGTGATCACACAAATAGCAAATACAAAAGTTTCAAGTTTTTCTAGCCCAGATATAATCAAATTAAAGAAAAGGCCATTACTATGAAATGTAACACGCATCACATGAGAGTGAAAGCAAACATTCTACAAATTTCCAAACATGACTCGATTGATCCTTCGCTCGGATAAATACACAAATAAAACCCGATTTATATTTCCATTTCAACCGGCTTTTGATGCAGAACAAGCGAACCTACATCGAAAAACCAATTCCAGAAACCCTCAAAATACTCGCACACAAACAAAAATGTACAAACTTTCTTCAACAGCGAAGAAAAATTGGCAAAAACAGAAAATCCCAAGACATTATTTTGGAACGAAGGCTGCTCAAAAATAAGTAGGAACTTCCGCTTAAAATTTTTAGTGTTTTAATCACAGAACTTTGTGCTTGTGATTAGAACCATTTATACTATAAATCACAATGTAAAGATCATATCTGCAAAAAAATAAATTAAAACTAAGATTGATTAGTCAACCTATTGTAATATATAGATGTGTAATGCTTTTACCAATACCGTTCATTTGTTTTTAAACAGTTTGATAACTAAACGACTTTAGTTTTAATTGGTGATTTATAATATGAACGATTCTGATTATAAAACACAAAGTTCTATAAATTGATAACAAATCATTTTGAAAATTTTTTAGTACGAGTCTCTACCCATTTTTCAGTAGCTAATATTGTTCTTTTGGAATAAGAAAGCGAGCAACATTCATCAGCAGAAATCAGAAATGCATGAATGGTAAGGAAGAAGGAAACTGACCTAGAAAACGCTGTCGCACAACTCTTCGTCTTCCTCGTCTCCTCGTCTCCTCGTCGCTTGGTCTGCTTAAGGGTTTGCAGTTCTCAGTCCCCCATCCAAAGTTTCCCTCTTTTTTGTGTGAGAATTCTGTTTTTGGAGGGTACTTATAAACCTAGAAAACGACATGTCGGTGTACTCGATCAACCAAGGCCAAACTGTGATTTTGTTCCTTTTTTCGGACAAAGTTTCACTTTGGTCCATCTGGTTTCAAATTCAATTGTTGCGTTTTTTAAATTATGGGGTTTAATGTTCTACACTAACGAGACGCTTGTTACTTTAGCAGTTAATAATTACTTTTAATTTTCACTATCGTGACGATATCCCAGATCAATCAAACGTTGCTATGTACGTAACTTAAAAAATAATTTGAACCAGGATGCCAGGAGTAGAGCAAATAACACGGAAGATATCATTGCAAGTGGGCAGATTCAAAAGGAAGCAACCAAATAACAAGGTACATCACTGCAAGTTAGTAGGTTCAAAAGGAAGCCAATCTCAATTTCGCTGCTTTCTGGTCCTCTGGGAAGATCAGTTAACTGTTTGGTGATCTCCGTCTTCTTTTCTGGTCCCCCTTCGAGGTTCGTGGAGCAAACGAGATCCACCTTCTCCAAGACCATTGCATTCTTTACCAAAATCTTCAATGCGCTAAACTCATCCTGTTGTCCAGCAAATTCACCCACTTCAATCGTTTTAAGATGAGCATGAAACATGGAGGCAGTGGCTCCAACACCTCACCATCTTCAACGCGATCCGAGGACAGGCAGATCCCCTAAATCATCAAACCGTAGCCATTTTAACAACATTACAGGAAAACAGAACACAAGAGAAAACAATACAGTGCCGTGCTCAGGAAGTTACCTCAAGAAATACCAGAGTTTCAAGACAAGGACAGTATTGGAGCGTCGTGAATAGTGCTTTTTGACCAATATCTATCGGTTCTTCCAATACCAAAGTGGTCAAATCATTGAAAAAGGGCATCTGGGAACGAAGTTCTGGTGCAGTATTTAGAACCACCTAAGAACAGGGTGAAGCCAATCATCAAAATTAGGCGATTTTAGACATTAACAAGTATAATCAAAGGAGAAGACAATATACCTCAAAGCGGCATCATTGGAGATGATTAGGCTATCTCCAAACCGAGCGTTGACCAGAGGGTTCGTTTTAATCCTATGGTCCCTCCAAGAAATTAATATTTTAATGAACAGTATATGACCATATTTGTTTCCATCTTCAACCGAGAGCCAAAGGGCCATATGGCTCGTTTTAGCCCTATCACAAAAAGCCGTCCCAACCGAGGACCAAAGGGCTATAAGGCCAAACATAATTTATTATTTATATTTAATGTTGTTTCATGTTACTGAATTTAATTTAATGTTGTATAATGGTTTAGGAAGTTATAGGAAACAAATAGAATTTAAAAAAAAAAAAAAATTTAAAATTTTGTAAAAAAAAAAAAAAAATTCAAAAATAACAGCTAGCTGACATCAGCTAGCCATTATATTAAAAATTTTCCATATTTGTGTTGGTTATAACCGACACTACTTTTGTTCAAAATTGTCCGACTATTTGTGTCGATTATAACCGACACTACTTCAAAAAATTCCAGCCAACCTGGCTGCATGTTTCCATCCCTTTGGCCCTTTGGCCCTTTCAGATTCCATGGGGCCCACGAGCCCTCTGGCCTAGCCCTCGGTTGGAAATGATTTTTAGGCTATTTTCAGTCCTCTGGCCCTCTGAACCTTTCGGTTGGAATGACCTTAGGTCCTCCACATAGAGAGCCCTTTAAGGAGCTTATAGAACCGGTAAGCAATATGTCTCCGTTTCTTACCAGAATAAGTGAAATATGTGAGACTAACATCAAATATCATAATCTGACAGCCATCTGAATCTCTAGAAAGTAGCGGTCTTCATCTATAATCAATTTCAAAAGCTTGGGAGCTTGTATACTCACAAACTTGACATTCGACCAACTGCAATTTTCTAGAGATAATTCCTCAAGAACCGGACAACCAAAAAACGGATGCTGCATTGAGTCATCAGGGAACACCACGGACCAGAAAGCGGTCTTCATAAACATAAACTTCATAGATTGACATGTACAATCCAAGATTTCAGCAGCAACCATTTCAAAATTGTTGGTATATCGAATTACATTGGCTTACAATCATAGACCGTTAAAATTTTGGTACTAATTAAACGCCTAATCTAACAATTTTTGGGAAATTACACAAATTAGCAAATACAAGATTCAATTTAACACCATAAAATGTAAAGGGTATAAGCATAAGCTTTCTTCAACAATAAACGAAAAGGCAAAAGGCAAAAGCAGAATACCCCAAATGCTGTATATATGGCGTTCTGGCTTTGGAGGTTATAGTTAAACCTAGAAAACGACATGTCGGTGCACTTAATCTAACGACTTGTCGTTCCTTGGAAGAGAAAGCCGAAAAGAGAGGGAAAGGCCTCTCGGGTCACGTCACGAGGTAAGTAACCAGTTCTCAGAATCAAAAGCCAAAACCACGCCGTTTTCTTCTACTTCTACGGTGGTGGTGGGAACACCAAACCCTAATTCTTATGTAATCCTCCTCCCCCTTCCGCCGTGGGTCAACACCCAAAGCCGCTCCTCAATAACCCTAATTTCCCCAACAGCCCCAATTTCTCCAATAACCCACTTCGACACTCCCAACTCTGTCCATGGACTCGGAAAGGCTCACACTTTCCCGAGAAAACCCTAGAGTCGCTTTTTCCCCGCACACCGCTGGAAAGGCCATGCCCGGTGCTGAGTTGACTCAGAAGCCCCAGCCTCCGACTCCGATAGTGGACCGATTCAGGGCTCTGCTCAAGCAGCGGGAGGAGGACCTCAGGGTTTCGCCCGACGACGAGGTTTCGCCGCCCAGCACCGAAGAAATCGTCCATCTTTACGAGATTGTATTGTCGGAGCTCATCTTTAATTCGAAGCCCATCATTACCGATCTCACCATCATCGCCGGCGAACAGAAGGACCACGGAAAGGGCATCGCCAACGCCATCTGCGCCCGCATTCTCGAGGTCTGTTTCGGTATCTGCGGGTTGCTTCTACCTCTTTTGATTATTCGACGGAGCTTTGCTGAATTGGTGTATGCCAATTGGGGATCCTTTTGGGGGGTGTTTTCTGTTTCTGTATAACCCAGATTGGACTTGTGTAATTGTTTGAGTTCTAGGAATTGTAAAAATACCAATCTTTACTCTAAAAGTTCTAATTCCTACCACGCTTCCCAGTTCATCTTTTGCTCAGTTTGGTTTGATAGAAATTTAAATTTTAGATTCTTGATGTTACTCAATTGGGAAGAACAACTTCAAAAGTTGTAATCTTTACTTTCTCTGTCTTTTTCTTCGGTTGCGTTTGGGTATTATGAACATAATGACCTGCAAAAAACATGTCCATTAAGCTTGATCACACAGAAGCATTGTTTTGATGAACAACCAAGCAAAACTTCCCAGTGAATTATTAGCCATTCTTGAATCAACAACCCTAATGCTACAGGAATTGCAATAAAAACTAGGATCAACACCAAATTTGTGATAATATGTTTAAGATGCAGCTCCAAGTCAATTGTCGTTTCTCTAATAGAGCATTAATCTGCAGTTGAATTTTAATAACTGTGTTAAGCCTGCTGCAAATGAAGTTGCAGTGCTTCACATATTAGTCAAGTTGAAGATTGCCCTAATTGTGTGATACTTGTCTATTGCAGGTCCCGGTCGAGCATAAACTGCCTTCACTGTATCTTTTAGACAGTATTGTCAAGAATATTGGCCGAGAATATGCCAAGTTTCTCTCTTCCCGTCTTCCTGAGGTGATAAAACTCAACTGCAGATGTATTTTTGTTATCCCTAATTTCAAGTCTATGTATAAATAGTGTTCTTTGATAATTAAACAATTCTAACATGATTTTATATATGCATTAGGTCTTTTGCGAGGCATACAGGCAAGTACACCCTAATCAGCACCCTGCCATGCGCCACCTCTTTGGCACTTGGTCAGCAGTATTTCCACCTTCAGTCCTTCGCAGGATCGAAGAGCAACTGCAATTTTCTCCGCAAGCAAACCAACAATCATCAGGATTACCACCTTTGAGGACTTCTGAATCTCCTCGACCAGCTCATGGCATCCATGTCAATCCAAAATATTTGCGTCAGTTGGACAGTTCAGATGTAGATGGTGTAAGCTTTCCGTGTAATCTCCCTATTTTAATCTGCTCAAAATACACCTTAACCTGCATTTAGTGTACTAGTGGAAAATTTATCTATGTTTCCATTGGTTAACATTTTTTGGTAGGGGATCTATTATTCAGACACTTTGATGTAGCTTTACCACCAATCATCAGCAGTAGAAAAAGATAATATGACATTTAATGTTTTTAGAAGAGTTCACTTTTCTTTTATTACAAGGATTTTGAGTTTCTTTTAACAATAAGGATTTTGGTTCGCCTTTCCTAGTTGGTTCATGATTTCCTTTAAGTTTTGTCAAATAGGACATCCAATTGTTAGTTACGATTTTCCAAGTCCATGTAGAATTTGGATTTGATCCCCAAACAAAGGCCTAGACTAGAATTGTATTTGTAGCATCATATTATTAAACAAATTTTGAGACTTCCTCCAACGTGAAAAATTCAAGCATATAGCATAAAAGAAATTCAAGTTGATCATTTTATCGAATACGGTGCTTGTCTAAACTGTTTCTGTTTCACACTCTATGGAACTGTGGCATTCAAATCTGTACCTCTATTAATCCTGCAGAGTATTTAGCATTTAGTAGGAGCTTAAAGGTCAAACTTGTATTCTTAAAATCCTGCCATTATGCATGACAAGTGTGATTCTAATAATGCAAAGGTTGTATCCTTGCAGGTTGTATCCCAAAGATTTAACTCAACAGGAAGTGTGAGTCATTCACCTTTTGCCCTGGGGTCCAATCAATTACACCCATCTTCAACTGCTAGGCTTGCAAGATCTTCGTCGCCTTCTAATATTGGGCTTGATAGGTCTTTGCCATCAGCAGTTGATGAATATGCAGCAGAACAGTCTCCAAGAAGGTTTGTTGAGAGGGCTTCCCCATCTAATTCTGTGTTTGATTATAGACTTGGTGGAGCAATGGGTAAAGATGAGGAGTCGAATGAATGGCGGAGAAAACGCTATCTTGATGGTAGTCAGAAGCGGTTTGATACTTCTGCTGCATATAATGGAGTTGACCATCCGAACCCAAGAGCTTTAATTGACGCATATGGGAAGGACAGTGCAGATAGAAGTTTAAATGATAAGCCTCTGCTGGTTGGGCGGCTGGGCCTGAACAGTTTAGATCATAAGGCAACTCCAATGTCATGGCAGAATACTGAGGAGGAAGAGTTTGACTGGGAAGATATGACCCCAAATTTAGCAGACCATGGTCAGGGTAACGATTTCATGGCTTCAACTGTACCGCCTTCTAGAAGCTACAAGGCAAGCCATGGAACACAGAATGCAAGCTCCTTGGAGCCAGATGTTAGGAGTACTTGGTCTAGTCAGGCACATCCACCTTCAGCCGAACAGTCCTCTATTGTAGCTGAAGATTCAGTTCCCCCACTTCGTGTATGTTCCCTCTACTAGTTTGTTAAGCATTTTTGTTTAGTTAACATGAAAAATTAAATGATTTTTATGTTTGCCTTAACGTAATTAGTTAGATTGTAAACTTTTCATAATTTCTTCCCTTATATTTACATATTATTTCTACCTATATCCCGCAAATTTTATTATTCTGTTTTATTTATTTCTAACGTTAGGTTTTTTTTAATAATATTTTTTTTTGGTTGTGGAGTGGCACCTTATTTGAGGTCCTGGTCAACTGACATTAATATATTCTTTTTCTGCATCTGTGACTGCATTAATGCTTAAACCACAACAATATTCATTGGAACTTTCCATCACTGAAATTCCATCCTTGAAAACCCATCATTTGCTTGACTTAACATAAAACTTTAGCACCAGAAGATCCCTCAATCAGTCTCTGTTTCAGTCAGGCTCAGTCCATGACCACTTACCTTTTCTTGTGTATAGTATTCCAAACTGATGGTATTCCAATCATGAATGTTCTCTATTATTGATTTCTGCTATCAAGTTTTCTTTAAATTACATGAAAAATTATTCCAAGTTTTTTGAGCTCATCTCTGAACATTTAATACCGTTCTTGCAGTTTGGTCATGGATCATCGGGTGCTGTGTCTCGATTTCAGTCTGAGAAAAATCATAATCTGGGTTCTCGCTACCCTCAAGAAGCCTGGAATATGCCTTTCCATCACTTGCAGCCTTTGCTGAATCCCCTTAATGCCAAAGGAAGAGGAGGGAATATTCAGACGCCCTTTGTGACAAGCGGTATATCTTCAGGTGGTGAGAAAATGTCTGCCTTTAATGACAAGCTTCTAGATGTTGATATACGACTTCATGGGCCCATTACATCAAGAATGGGTTCCTCTAGTGTTCACTCTGTTACTGCTGACTCTCGATCTGTGATGCCAGTGTCAATGGGTTTAAGGCCTCCAGTAAACGTGCATAATTCTCACCCTCCCCAAGTGCACTCAGTTTTTGCAATGCAGAACCAGAGGAATCTGTACGGTTCAATAAATTATAGCAATACTGTAAAAAATCAAGGCCCATATAATCCTTTATGCATGCCGGAGCAGCAGTTAGATGGCTATGAAAACAAGGAGTCAAGATCGACAAAGTCAACTCAGGTGCCACAATATCGTCCCTTACAACCACAGTATCGTCCACCTCAGGAGGCACGGGAGAATATTTTTTCATCTGCAGAAACTCAGGTGCCATCTTATTTAGGGGTACCACCCTTAAATCACGGATACACTTTGCGAGGTCCCGTACCTCGTCAACACTTGGGCATACCAACCCCCTATAACCCAAATGGCAGTTCGCAGTTCTCCTTGCCACCTTTACCACCAGGTCCTCCTCCCTCGCAAGGCATACTTTCCGTCCAAAACCCTGGTTCAGTTGTCTCTAGCAATCAGCCCGGCAATGCCTATTCTGGTTTGATTAGTTCTCTCATGGCTCAAGGTTTGATCTCATTGACAAATCAAAGCCCTGTCCAGGTATTTACATGACATCCTTCTATATTTTTCTTTTGGAATATTTGATATTATAATTCAATGCTGGGGATGCTCAACCAAGTTATTAAATGTTTAGGATTCTGTAGGAGTCGAATTTAATGCCGACCTTCTCAAGGTGCGTCATGAATCTGTAATAAGTGCCCTATATGGTGATCTCCCTAGACAATGCACAACCTGTGGCCTTAGGTTCAAGTGCCAAGAAGAGCACAGTAGTCATATGGATTGGCATGTAACAAAGAATCGCATGTCTAAAAACCGCAAGCAGAAGCCCTCTCGCAAATGGTTTGTAAATACAAGTATGTGGCTCACTGGTGCAGAGGCATTGGGTACTGAGGCAGTCCCTGGATTTTTGCCTGCTGAGACCATAGTGGAAAAGAAGAGTGATGAAGAAATGGCTGTTCCTGCCGATGAGGATCAGAATTCGTGTGCATTATGTGGAGAGACTTTTGATGACTTTTATAGTGATGAGAATGAAGAGTGGATGTATAAAGATGCTGTGTACATGAATGCACCTGACGGAGCAACAGGAGGCATGGATAGGTCACAATTAGGTCCTATTGTGCATGCTAAATGCAGATCCGAGTCAAGTGTGGTCTCCCCTGAAGGTTTTGGACAAGATCAAGGGGTACATCTCCACTTTTCATAGTAATTTTCATTGCTTATAACTGCTTTCTCAAAAATATATCTGATAACGGTAAATTCCCAGTTTTGTTTTAAATGTTTTGCATCGATAAGCATTTTCATCTTTAGAAGATAACAATCTTCTATATCATATTTGTATTAGTCCTATGCCCATGGTTTTCTGAATATTATGGTGTGCATGCGGCTCCCAGTTATTTTCATGCTATTATAGGATGTTTAGTGATTACCAAGATTGAATATGTTATGCTTTACTGGTAGTATGTAACATTATGTCCTTTGCATGCACCGGAGACCTATTTGGTTTCTGCTGAAAATTTATGTACTTAATTTGAACAATGGAAAAGCCGGATGTGTAACATTATGTCTTTTGCATGTACCCGAGACATATTTGGTTTCTGCAAGCTGTGCTGAAAATTTATGTACTTATCTTGAACACTTTTCTTCGGACTCGCAGGGAATTATTGAAGAGGGTAGTCAAAGAAAACGATTGCGGAGTTAACATAGTTAGATCGACTTCCATGTTCACTGTAACATTATATGAGTTTCTTCATTTTTATGGTATTCTCTCAACTTTTTTATTTTTCCTCATTTTGTTGGAGTATGCAGCACATTGGCTTTTTCAAGCCAGCTTGTACATGAATAGTGGAATTTGTACTCATGCACATTATCTTGCGGCAAAAGGTTACAGCTTCTCTTGCCATGTTGAGTATCTGGCATTTTATGTTTTCTGTCAAAACAACCCAGATAGGGCTCTTAAAACCGAAATCTGTCGTCTTTTTCAGACATTTAGACTATCTTTTAAACACGATAAGAGTGGGGATGGCTTGGTTTTACTTTGCACTTTGCAGCGTGCTCCGAGAGAGGAGGGAGAACTGTTGGATCAAATTCTGTTAACTGATGGAACTTCTTCTGCAATACATATTTTGTGCATCGTTGCGTATACATTCTGCAGGGGAGTGCTTTCTTGCTCTTCTCAGAAACATCAATTTAATGGAAGCTCAAGTGGAACCGAAATGTGAAGATGTTGATGCCCATTTTCTTTTTTATTTGTTTTCTTAAGTCATTTAAAATTACAGTGTACGCTGGTTCTGCTGACTTTTCCAGATAGCAATGGTGAAGTTCGTGCAATTTCCAAATTAGTTGTACTGTGGATTCTGTTGAAATTTTAATAAAAGTTATACTCATATCAATTTATTATTTTGTTTTGATTTGTTATTCACATCGTGCCACTCATCTTTTAGTCATTGGCACTTGAAAAAATCTGCTTACGATTTCTTGTTCTCGTTTATTCATTTCATCCGAAAAATGTCTATTTTATGATTTCTTTTACTTGGAAATAAGAGCGTGAAAGAGTAAAAAGGAGATTTAATATTTTTGGCCGTTAATCTAAAACTTGTTTTCTAATCATTTAGCATCAAAATAATTTAGATGTAGTGATTCCATATCTAAGGATCTACATGTTAACTTGTTTATTTGGGTCATTTCTCAATCCTTGCATTTAATGCAAAGATTATAAAAATAATTTTTATTATGAAATTTAAAATATAAAATTAAATAACCAAAAAAATAGGGTTTCAGGGATCAAATATTAATATTTATCGTGCAAAGTTTTAAAAAACAAAAAAGAAAATAATTTTATTTTACAATTTAAAATATAAAATAAAATTAAAAAATAGAGTTTAGGCGACGGAATATTGATATTCATCGCACAAAATTTCTACAAAAAATAAATAAAGAAAATAATTTTCTTCTACAATTTAAAATATAAAATAAGTAGAGTTTAAGCGACGAAATATTGATATTCATCGCGCAAAGTTTTTAAAAATAATTAAAATAATGAAAATAATTTTAAATATAAATTAAATAAAAAATAAAATAAAATTGGTTTGGGAAACGAAATATTGTTGTTCATCGTGAAAAGTTTTTGAAAAATAATAAAAATAAAGAAAACAATTTTCTTCTACAATTTAAAATATAAAATTGAATAACCACATTATTACTAGCCCATTGTGATGCTAAGCTCACACCTTCCTCCTTGGTGTAGATAATATTGTTTGTTAAAAAAATATAAAATTAAATAAAAATAGATAATTAATAGGTTTTAAGCAACGAAATATTGATATCCGTCGCGCAAAGTTAAAAACAAATAAAGAAAACAATTTTATTTTACAATTTAAAATATAAAATTAAATAAAAAAAGAAAATAAATTGAGTTTAGGTGATGAAATATTTCGTCGCACAAATGTTTAAAAAATAATTTTAATTCTATTTATTTTTTAAATACATTGCGCAATGATTTTTAAAATTTCGTTATGCAAAGTCACTTTGCGCGACGATGTGTACATTGTCGCACAAAGATTTTTTTACTAGTGTGTGGCCTTGGCCTTTCTTCCTTTGGGTTTGTTGGGGTTGGGAAGGACCCTACGATAACATAAACCATCATGTCTCTTTTTAGTTTAAATTAGAGTAGTAATATCATTGTAATAAAGAATAGATAAATACACTTATATCTCAATCTAATATATTACTTCATCTTTGTAGAAATGCTAAAATTAAGTTTGTGTGGGAATTTTGATATTATTTTCCCTCCTATCTCACATCCTGGCCCGGGCCCCCACCACAACCTAGGCTCGACTCCGTCATAGTACAATATCGTCTGCTTTGGGCCCTAACCATGCCTTCACGGTTTTTTTTTTCTTTCTGGGAACTCACACGAGAACTTCCTAGTGGGTCACCCATCCTGGGATTGATCTTGCAAGAACTCGCTTAACTTCGAAGTTCCAATGGAACCCGTAGCCAGTGAGCTCCCAAAAAGCCTCGTGCTAGGAAGATATGAGAATATACATATAAGACATAGAAGATCCACTCCCCTAGGCGATGTGGGATGTTACAATCCACCCCCCTTAGGGGCCCGACGTCATCGTCAGCACACTTCTGACCAGGGATTGGCTCTAATACCAAATTGTCACATCCCGGCCAGGTCCCCCACCATAACTCGGGCTCAACTTAGCACGATATTGTCCGCTTTGGGCCCCGACCATGCCTTCACGGTTTTGTTTCTAGGAACTCACACTAGAACTTCCCAGTGGATCACCCATCCTAGGATTGCTCTTGCGCGAACTCGCTTAACTTCGGAGTTCCAATGGAACCCGAAGCCAGTGAGCTCCCAAAAGACCTCGTGCTAAAAAGATATGAGAATATACATATAAGGCATAGAGGATCCACTCCCCTGGGCAATGTGGGATGTTACAATCCACCCGCTTAGGGGCCCAACGTCCTCGTCGGCACACTTCCGGCCAGGGATTGGCTCTAATACCAAATTGTCACATCCTGACCCAGGACCCCACCACAACCCTGGCTCGACTCTGCCACAACACGATATTGTTTGTTTTGGGCCCCGACCACGCCTTCACGGTTTTGTTTCTAGGAACTCACACTAGAACTTCTCAATGGTTCACCCATCCTGGGATTGCTCTAGCGCGAACTCGCTTAACTTTGGAGTTCCAATGGAACCCGAAGCCAGTGAGCTCCCAAAAAGCCTCGTGCTAGGAAGATATGAGAATATACATATAAAGCATAGAGGATCCACTCCCCTGGGCGATGTGGGATGTTACAATCCACCCCCTTAGATGCCCGACGTCCTCGTTGGCACACTTCCGACCAGGGATTGACTCTGATACCAAATTGTCACATCTCAGCCCAGGCCCCCACCACAACCCGGGCTCAACTCTGTCGTAGCACGATATTGTCCACTTTGGGCCCCGACCACGCCCTCACGGTTTTGTTTCTGGGAACTCACACAAGAACTTCCCAATGGGTCACCCATTCTGGGATTGCTCTCGCGCGAACTCGCTTAACTTCAGAGTTCCAATGGAACCTGAAACCAGTGAGCTCCCAAAAGGCCTCGTGCTAGGAAAATATGGGAATATACATATAAGGCATATATGATCCACTCCTCTAGGCGATGTGGGATGTTCCATCCTAGGAGGCAAATATATAGTAGAAAAATCCTAATTACAGTAAGGAAAACAATAACTGCTAATTCTAATTATAGTAGAAAAATGCTAAATAAAAATTGTATCCCACTAATTACAAGTAATCCCTACAAATTAATAAACTTGAGCCAACTGCAAGGACTTTTTTTATTAGCACCCCACATAATGTTGAATACATCCCACATTAAAATTTAATATTAAATGATTTATATACCCTATTATGCAATGACAATTTCAACCTTATAAGGTTTAAAAAATTTTAAAGGATAAATCTCAGTTTACTACCCTCAAGTTTTGTGGTTTTCAACATTTGGTACATGAAGTTTTTTTTGTCCCAGAGTCATACCTAAAGTGTTAATTTTAAGACAGTCTCATACATCCGTTAGTCTGGCTGTTAATTCTTTCATTAACTGATGATGTGGCACCCATGTGGACAATGACTAGGCGCCACATGTCATTAAGGGTCCACGTGGAAATTAAAAAAAAAACTAAAAAATTAAAAAACTTAAATAAATTAATAAATTAAAAAAACATAAAAAATAAAAAAATAGAAAAAGGTGGGGATAATTGCTTTCTTCTTCCCCGTCCCTTCTCTTCTGCAACTAGTTCTTCTGCGAATCTGGTTGGGATCTGGGCTAGTGAGTTTAGCGTCCCTTTTTCTCTTCACTACTATCTTTCTTTCTCTTCTCTCCCTCAAATCTCAGATCCCCAGCAACCCTTGCCCTCGCGACCTCGTAACCCTCAGCAGAGGTTTCTGGACCTTATAATCATCATCATTCGTCTCACTGCCACTGGTAATGGATGAACGGAGATCGATTCAGCCATCGCGACCTTGTAACCCTCACTAGGACCCGCACCTGTGGCTTTAATGATGGCTTGCTCGGCGTGTTTGAGCAATCAATAGACGGTTTGTCCATCGGACTTGTGGCCGAGTTCCTAGCGTCAGCTGAAAGATCATGGCAGCACAGGTAGCGAGTATTCAGATCCGTCGATCGCTGCCTTCAACTTTCGTATGGCAGTCCTTGGTGGAGGATCGTCGGGTCGGGGCAGAGACAGATACATGTACGGACATGGGCATTTGCATCGTGACCAGGAACATTCCAATGAGGTGAGCCTGCGGCTGTTGTTATGGGTCGGAGTCATAAGCTCATCCTTCAGTGAATGGAACTCCATCGTTTCCTTGGAGTTAGGTTGCATCGAAAAGACACCGTCTCTGCTGGTATGGTCGTTGTCTCCCGAGTCTCCGGTTTTGGTGCTAAGATCAGAGACACATTTGTCGTTGTCCTAATCCTCCTAATACGACATCATTCTTGCAAACTAAAACGGAAAATTTTTGTATCGAAGGAAACTTTGAGAGAAACTGCAGGAAAATGATAAGGGTTTTGATCAGTTTCTTTTTTTAAGTTTTTTAATTTTTTAGTTTTTTTTTTTAAATTTCCACGTGGATCCCTTAATGACATGTGGCGCCCAGTCATTGTCCACATGGGCGCTACGTCATCAGTTAACGGAAGATTTAACAACCAGACTAACGGATGTATGAGATTGTCCCTAAATTAACACTTTAGGTACGACTCTGAGACGAAAAAAACTTTATGTACCAAATGTTGAAAACCACAAAACTTGAGGGTAGTAAACTGATAGTTATCCAATTTTAAAAATACTAAATACACCCCAAATCACTTTTAACATGTATATCACAAGATTATTTATCTTCTTCAACTCTCTAAACCACTCTCACTCTCCATTGTAGAATAAAAGCCTAACCGAAGAAACTACAAACACATTGATTGAGAAAAATTATTTTTGACGAACGGAACATAAAATTGATGTTTCGGAAGCTTCACCTTGTTCAAAATGTACTGTCACAGGTGGATGAAGGTTAAACTTCATTGGTGTTAGATTATAGTCTTCCCCTTCTTATGCAAAGAAGATAGTGGTGATGTTGTTTCACAAAAGCCATGTTCTAAAAATAATCTAATGATCAGATAATACTAAATTGCATTTGTGCCTTCAAGAGACAATTTTTGCATTTACAGCATGGTGTTCGCGTATGATATGTGATGCATAAAATATCATTTAGTGTGCATCTCAGCCAATGTCAATACTTTATTCTGCCGAATTTAACTACCAAATGGACATATATAGAGAGCCTAAGCTCCTCACATCATAATCTTATATCCTAAATTATCATTTTTGAGATACACCCTCTCGCAGATCAATGTTGATTAGATGGAAAAAGGTTAAGGAAAAAAATTCAATCTTTGAATAGAACCCGAGATAAGACGTTGCTTAATTTACTGGTTCAAGAACTCCTTCTCAACCAATAGTTTCTACTGTTTCTAGTTGTAATAGTCATGTATATACATATATACACTGTAAAACACGCACACACACAAATATATATCCACATAAATGATTAAAGAAGTAATTAACTAGAACCACCACTCACTGTAATTCTTTCAGAGTCACAGCAGTAAAAGCACCAGAGCAAAATCTAACCAGTACCACTCCTCCCAATAAACCCACAACTGTACGTACACATCTCTCTCTCTCTCTCTCTCTCTAACCACCATCTACTTCTGTGCCTTCCCTAATTAGAATATATAACAAGAACGAAGGCAACAGAAAGAGAAGGATAAGAAGAAGAAGAAGAAATTAAAGCTAACACAATTTAATGTCTGCAATTTTCATGCAGTTATAATTCTCTGCCACTGCTCAAAATATAAGGTACAAGTATGGTTTGTTTTTCATTGGCCTTCTTTAAAGCGATGTATATTCTTTCTTCGACACGCTATAAATTTCTGGGAGCAAAAGATATTATTGCATGAATAAATAGATACTGTACTTCACAACCATCTTTTTTAGTTAACACTGGAAGGGAGCAGAGATCTTTATTACTATATATATGACTGTGCAAAGTACGAACATCACACAAACGTTAAATCTTATATAAAATTGTGCAACAAGCATAGCTTATATCTACCATATATGAAAATTTGATACTACTTTTCTTTTTGAAATTTGAGTCTGAAATATTTAATGGGTGCACAGAGTCAATGCTACATCTTTGTCATCTGTGCAGTTGCCAGTCTACGGTGGTATTATGGTGCTTGCATCAATTGGTACATGTAGTCCCTAACTACTCGAAAACATGATGACACCAAAAAAACAAGAAATCCAAGAAAATATGTTTCAATCGAAGAATTAATTCATAAATTAAAAGAGCACCTTAGTAATATGTTTCAATTGATATACGCATTGTCATGCATAACATAGAAATCACACTTGAAACAATGCACACTTAGCTAGAGTTAGAGGTGTTGTTGCGAACAACGGCAGAGCCACCTTTAAACTAGGGTAGGCTGCAGTCGAGTGCAAAAATTTAGAATTGTAAGAATTTAGTGTTAATTTTAATGAAATTCACTTTGGCTAGTGAAAATCAGTCCACCCATCTCCGGAAAACATAGGCCACTATAGTTATAGCCCACCTTTACGAAATTTCTTAGTTCCGCCCTTTGTTGCGATACTGATTAGAATAGTTTATTTGGAGATATTTAACTTGCTTGGTCATCATATATAATCTAAGATTGCATCATTTTCTTCAAAGACATTTGTGGTTAGAAGAACTTCAAACACATTTGGAACGTGGAAGTCCTAAAAACTTTGAATTTTAAAGTAATTCCTTGTATTCATGCATATAACAACAACAATAACGACAACAACAACCAAGCATTCTCATAGTAAGTGGGATTATATGAATCTTAGAATGTATTGTGTTCTGTTTTGCGTCATATCTCTGTTAGGTCCATGTACCATATATACACACATGCACATGTATATATATGAGTCACATATATAAATTGAATATGAAGCTCGCGGCAAAGTTTCTTATTAATTCATCAGTAGGTAATTGCAAGTCTGGGGATGACTTTAATTCCCTCGAAGGGAAGAATGGGGCATTGGAATATAAAATACAAGCGATTCTTCTAGAACTAGTACCACAACCGCAAGATAGCAATTAACACCACCTCTATATTTCATGGAGGCCCTTGCAATTTTCTGCTACAAATTGAATGAAATCTCAACAACCGTGGATAAAACCATAAATTTGGTCTTCTGGTTTCCCATAAAAGTCGAGGTGCTCCAGTGTGTATAATATCTTGGGACGGATGGAGTAGAGATTCTCAATACTAACCATTATATCCTCAAAGTTTTGGCATCAGGCTGCATGTTAGAATAATACTGCTAGGTCAAACTAAATTTGGTAGGCCAAACTATGAAGGACCTTGGCATTTTTTTCAAAATTCCGGAAGCCGGACGTTGACTTAGGGTCAAATTGACAATTGATTTATTTATTTATTTTTACATACAACCAAGAACCCTTTTTCTGTTTTTTTTTTTTTTTTTTTTTTTTTTTTTTTTTTTTTTGTAATAATCCGACATACAGCCAAGATTGTTGTACCACTAATTTATTTTCAATAATCCAACACTCACCCTATTCCAAGTTCCAATGAGTTTAATTTTTCAGAAAAAAAAAATATATTTTTTCACCATATACATTCGCAATGTAAAATAGGAGTAGAATTCTCACCTCCAAATCATTTTTCTTCAGTTTTTTCCCATTTGAACGATTACAATTAAGTTACGTCAATATTTTGTATTAATTTTTTTTTTATAGAGAAAGATAAAGAGAAAAGTGTGAGAAAAAGGGATAAAAGGTGAGGGGGAGGGAAGGGGAGGTGGAGAGAATCCTAATTTATGTATTTTGAACAAACGATAGTATCTACACTCATGGGTTGAGGGAGTAGGCTACAATGAACTTGCCATAATAATGTGGTTCAACTTCATCTTTGACGATAATCAAACCAAAACTAACAATATTGTATGTATGTGTTTATAAAATTTTGAAAATAAAATTTACAAAGAAAGATTGCCACGGCTTTCAAATAATTTTTTTATTAAATAGGTTGTTCATATCTTAAAAAACAGTAAAATTATTTTGTGTGTAATTTCCTATTTTGAACATAACTTTTATTTTGGTTATTTTTCTTTAATTTTGTTAACAAGGTTAATTTGTTCTTTTAACTCTCTTTTGATTGACAAAGAGAATTTTGTGAATAAGTGATTTAAGATAAAACATATGTTAACTGAAAAACTTCACCATATATTTCGATAAACTCAAAGTTACAGCATTGATTGATCATATTGAGATTAATTTGCAAAGAATCAAATCTATAATTTTTAACTCGTCAGGCTTCAAGTATTGGAGTGCATGTAACAAGACCTACTCCTCTTTCCTAAAAATATGATAACTAATTACCAAATAAACAAAAATTACTTTGAAAGCTACAAACAGTTGAAACTGGAAGCATTGTTAATGTGATCTCAAAAGTACTCCAACTAAACGCCTCTCTTAAACATAAACAAGAGTAGGGAAAAGAAGCTTAGACAGGCATAAACCACCCTGCGGTGAACCCTAGCCCTAATAACCCTATCCCTAATCCCTAGACCCAAACAGTAATTAAAGGTGAACAGAGTTATTCCAAACTTTTCATAGATAGCTAACAATTAACAAAGTCTTGAGCATAGTTTCCTCTTTGTTTAGGGGAAGTCAATACCCGAACCCACTACCCTTGTGGGGTGGTGATTTGCTTTAGGGTTTCCTAAATATCACCAAAACACCACAAGATAAGGATATTATAAGGTGCGCTCTTGACTTTTTTCCCCTTTGTAACCCTCAATTTCGAAGTAAACCCACCATTCTTGCTTTCTTCCTCTACCTCTTTCCAACTGCCAAAGAAAAAAGACAGAAGAAGAAAATAATAATAAGTCTAGTGAAATAATTAAAAAAACCAAAATACTAATTAGTAATTAAGTGAGCTCACCATGTATTTAGGCTTTTTAGTTGTCATGGATTTTGTTCACATGTAACCGCGGCTCTAATACGCTCAACCGTGCACTTAATTAGATTGTTAACAGTAGCCACAGATCCCAGAGATAGTTTGGCAGTAGGAATTGAATCAACCAAGATCTGAAATGCTACGGTGAGTAGAGACCCACCAGAGCCAACATCAAGGGCTCCTCCTCCTGCGGACCCAGCAGGTCCATCTGGAAGGATGGCAAAACCTGAGGGCAGAAGTGCTACATAATCTGGGTCTCCACCACTTAACACGACATTCATGGCCACGATATCAACTGGTGCATAAATCACATATGACCCGGTTGAATCAGTGCAGCTTTCCTGAAGTATCAGCATATTGCTTTGGCTTGAATTTGCACTCTACAAAACATGAATTGTTCCCCTATTAATTATCTTGGTCTAGTGTTTAAAAACTATGGTGAATAAAATATTCACTGTGATTTGGGAGTACATTCATGCAAGAACTAACCTAGCTAGTCAGTTGTTCACAATTTGACAATGTAACGCATGCATATATTTTGATCGAGACTTACATTTACGCGAAGTAGGGAGACACAGTTGCCTGGATCACGACCATTAGCTATGTGTGCCATCTCTTGAACTAGCCCACCATTTGAAAGTATATCCCACTGAAAATTATATGCCATAAATTAAATATGCATGTTTACACATATGCTATACGTAGCAGTGCCCTAATATATCAGATTTATATCTATGATGCTTTACTCAGCAATGCCCTAATATATCAGAGATATATATGTACATATATTAACATGCAATATGTACCTCACTACGAGAGTTTTCATCCCGCAGGAAATTGAAAACTCTCTTGGGAGGAACAGGAATCCAGAAGGAAGTTGCAGCACTTAGAACAATCCCAGGAGGCCTGCCAGGATCGTCCATACTTTTTCGGGTCATGACCCTTACATCATCTGAACCCGTTGCTGATAATGTAGTCCATGCATGTGCAGTAGAAGCACCAACACCGGTACAGAAACTCATCACCATTCTTTGTGCCAGCTTCAACATACTTTTCCTCCCTTCAGTACTAGTTATCACTGTATTATAAGACAACAATTCAAACCCATTACTTTGATATTAAGGGAAAACTAATTACCAAAAAAGTAAATTAAGATTAATGTGTACCACAAAGATCTCCAGCAGGAATGTTACTGGCCATGGAACTCGCAAGACGTTGGCACTGTCTATCAAGTGTAGCCACCCAGCGCTTAGCTCCAAAGGCAAGACCAGAATTGACTAGTGGTCTGTATATGTTGTGAACAGCACTATCATCCGCTTCAACATGTTCCACCCATATAACCTAAACAATCATACATAAAAATCACGAATGTGTGAATTAGGTGAGAGAACAATGTTAACTAGTGAAAGAAAAAAAAAACATGAACTATAATGAGCTTAGAAGAGCAAGCTAGTGAAAAACTTAATTTATAGACCTTGGAGTAGCCATTTTGCAATTCTTGTATTAAGCAGCCGGATGGCCTTCTTCGACTTCTTGAAACTGGACTTGGGCGTAGGTTGTCCAAAGAAACATCAACGACTGCCCAAGTTCCATCAACATTCTGCTTACAGTACCTTACAAAGTAATTCTCACGGGTTGGAACGAGTGGTGAGGGTACTTGAAATTCAGCAGTCATCTACATATGAATTATATCATATTTGTTAACTTCGGTAAATGCTTTAATCCATTCTAAATTCAAATTAATTTGTGTGTTGTGTACATACTACTTGCAAGGCTCCATTGTAGTTTCCAGCTACTCCAGTTGATAGGATATCAAGGGTCATTGCTCTTGAGACAATACCACAAAAGACGGTAGACCATTGATTCTGAAAGACATCATTGTGTTAAATTCAGAGAGAGTTCTTTTAAATCCAAAGTTCATTTACTTAATGTTCAAATATGTGTGTTAATTACCACATCCATGAGAATCTCAACAAGGTTAACATGATTCATGATGACCAATGCTGTTTCTCTTGAAGCCTCAGACTTTAAGCCCAATGGTTTAGGGCCAATCCCCCTCGGAAATGTCCTCAAGTACTCGTCTTCGTTTAAAATCTCTTGGTGAATTGAGTTATGGTCACCAGGAACCCATAAAGGGTCTCCAGCCTCGGCCATTCTAATTAGTTCTTCCATGGCTGCAACGGCAAGCTCAACGATCATCGGCTTATCTGCCTCAGTGGGCACTGAAACCGACCTGAGAAGATCACTAGATGATCCATACATTTCTCCTACGAAGCCTGGCTGAGTACCAAAACTGCCAACCCCAAGATCAATGGAGCGGCCGGAAGGCACATGAGATGACATGTGAGAGGAAAATGAGCTCGTCAAAGGCTTCCCAACATATTTGGCAGCAATCGAAGATATCTTATCAATCTGTGAAACCAATTGAACAAAACTCAATAGGTTAGATCAATTATAATAACGAGAAAGAGGTGTTGTATGTTTTATAGTAATGGTCACCTCTTCATGTAAACGAGCATTTTCAATCCTCAAATGTTGCTCATCAAATGACATCTCCCCAATCGCAGCTGGTCCTCCACAGTTGGGGCATGTGGCATTGGCAAGGGCTTCCTTGTACCTATTGTTCTCGGCACGAAGCTTGTCGTTCTCAGATTTCAAAATTGAATTCTCATGGCGTTCATGTTGTGCCTAAGAGTAATACATAATGTCAAAATTGATACACAAAGTAATCAAACCAATAAAAAAGGAGTTAAATAGGGCCAAGTTATTCGAGAGCTTAATGTGTGCTAGAGGTCCCATGTAATGAAAGTTCTTAATGTTGGTATATGGTCCAGCCCATGATGAATGTTCTAGATTATTCTAGTAAGCAAGTGAGGTGGCTGAAGCATGCTAGACAATTCTAGCAAGTTAGTAAGTTGGTGGAAGAAGCTGGAAAGTACTAGCTTCCTTGGTTGCAAATGGAAAGATCTAGAAGCTACAATTTTGTGGCTAGTCTAGAATTATCTAAGCTAGAGGTTTGTAGAATATACTAGAAACTAGAAACTAGTTCTAGTTTGTAGAAGGAACTAGAAACTAGTAGAATGCCAAGCCCTCGCCTATAAATATGGGTGTGATGTTGTAGTGATGTAACCAATTAAGAAATAAGTGAGTAGAAGAGGATCAAGTCCAAAGCTAGAGTTGCACTCCAAGAGTGAGAGTGAGAGTGTTCCACTACATATTGTGTGAGTGGAGTTTAGAGTGATAGAAAGTGTGTGTTATACTTTCTTGTATCCATTAGGCCTTGTCTTTAGCTTGGTAAGATTACTCTTGTTGTACTCATCTTTTTCATATAGTGAAGATTGATCATTGTTTCGTGGACGTAGGCATAAATTGCCAAACCACATAAATTCTTGGTGTCCATTTTCTATTTTACTTTGTGCATTCTCTATCTTGGAGTACCGACATTCCTAACACTTAATGACTAGTATAAAGTCAAAACTCTCAAGAGAATAAAGGATAAATTTTCTCATAAGTCGAACATTAATTTGGAACGAAATGATTTATGGAAACGCATAAATTGCATACATATCCAATTGATTTTTCTACATATACGTACAATTCATATGTATGTCTGTGTGCGTGTGTGTTTGGTGGTGGAAAATATGCGTTACCTTCATTTGGGTGCGCTTGTTTTGGAACCAGAATTTGACTTGCAAAGGCTCTAACCCTAGTTCACGACTCAGCTCCTTCCTTTGCTTGTCATCTGGGTGAGGACAGTCCTTGAAGAATCTATAAAATAAAAAATATTCGATCGATATATATGTTAAATTCACAATGAAGTTCATGATCTGAAAAACCCTAAAACCAAGACAAACAAGAAAAATAAGGACTTACGCTTCCATCTCCTGAATTTGGCGCTGGGTGTGACGATGGTAACGTTTTCTTTTGGGGCGCGGGCCGGTGGCGTTGGGATCTTGCTCGTCACCGGAAGGAGCGTCCATAGTCGTTTCGGTGCCAGATTTGGTCTCGAAGTCATCGTCCAGCAGTCGGCCAGTACTATCCGAGGTTTTGTGGGTACTGCTCGTCGTCATATGATCTAGGATGTGATTCTCGAACATGCTTGGCTGAAACATTTTTTTCGCCTTCCAAATCCCTAGAATTTAGGACTCTTGTTCTAGCTAAATACCTGTCTCTCTTGTCTTAATTTCAATCTGCCAAGACAAAATAATATGGGTCAATTTATATTCGTTTATAAATAAATCAAGGGCACGGCACTGATAAACATCTTAAAGAACTCAGACCAAAACTAAGAGCGAGGTTTAGAATTAAGACACTCCTACTGTAGTTGATAATGTATATAAATATATATAGATTAAAAATAATGGGGGAAAATAATTAAAAAGAGAAATAACCTTTTCTTCCAGTACTTCGACCCAATCCATAGAGAGAAAATCAGGAAAGAAAAGAAATTTGGGAGGAGAGAGATTAAAGAATAATAAGAAATACCAAAGATAAATCTGAGAGAATAATAAATGGTAATATAATTTAATAGGGCAAGTGACCTGTATTAGACTCTGGAAGTAGAAAATAAATGTACAAGATAAATCTGTAAACATGTATCTACGATTCTACATACGTACAAGTCTCCCCCATTCCCTCTCTAAGAAGATTTACAGTTTTTTTTATCTCAAAATATTCAGAAGATTTACCGTTTCAACCAACAGATTTTGCTTCAAATGCATCCCTTAAATAACCCAAAACCAAAATACACGCATATACACCTACAAATACGGATATATATTATCCCCGGAATATATAGAAAAGAAAGCTAAACTGACCTGAGAAGATTAGCCGAGAGTTTTCGTGCATCTATGTCTTGCCGGAAGCTTTTGTCCGACTACCATATAAATATATCTCACTCTCCAAATAAACCCTAGACTACACACCCTCCATCTCTTTCTCTCTCCTCTTTGACTCTGAAGAGGTAAGAGGTGGTTTCTGGGTGTGGTGTTCTGTGTGGGGGGTTTTGACTCTTTGTGGGTTGTTGTGGTTGAAAATTTTAATAGATTCTCTGGCGGTGTCTGAGACAAAAACCCTAATTGACTGGATTATTACAAGTAAGAAAAAGGGAAAGAAATGACTGACCCTTCAAACAGTCCTTAGCCTTTTTGCTCTTGCGTGCTAATTGACTGTGGCTAGTAGTTAATGAGTTTTCAAACACACTAAACTAAGATTGTCACGCCCAACTTAACCAAATCTCGGTTTTCCCAATACCACACAGTACTCCCTCTCCCTCTCTAAAAATAACGGAAGGATTTGTGTAGAAAACAAAAAGGGGGACTTGAAGGTCAAAGAAGCTGACCCTTGGGGGAACAAAGAACTGTCTGTTCCCTTCGAGACCGTGGTGGGTAGGAGTGGAAGAGTTGTGGCTTTAAGAAGAAGAATGCGGTGATGAAGATTGAAGGAGAGACAGAAAGAGAACGGACGAGAAAAAAGAGGAGATAGAATCGAAATAGCAAACGAGAGAGAGAGAGAGAGAGAGAGAGAGAGAGACTTTGAGGGGAAGGGGGAAGAAAGAGGACCAGGTGGAGAGGATGTGACAGCGAAGGAGTTAATGCAGAGCGTATTGAGAGGGTGCGATTGCATTTATGGCGGGAGGGAGAGGTGTAAATGCTGCTCAGCATGAGAGAGAGAGAGAGAGAGAGAGAGTAAGAGAGTATTTGACAAGGGTTTGGAGTCTCATCATCCTCATGTTCTAAATTTTTTATAGGGGAGTATGGTGAAATATGAATTACAGCTTTATTAGCTGCCCTAGATTTCAACCCTCTCAGTTTTTCACTTCTTCAGCCAGCACTCGATATCTTCTGGGTTTTCTATATATATTCAGTATCATGTAAGCTTGTTTTGTAGTTTCATCAACAGTTTGGTACTAATTAACCATTGGATTTGAAGATAATTAATCATATCGTTCAATAATAATTTAGAGTATAAGTAATAAATTGAATCGATATATAAAATCTAAGTTCGTATCAAATTTGGCTCCTTCAAGTTTAGCTTGTAAAAGAAATAAGTTGAGCTAGGCTAGTTTAAGAAACTAGTCAAACCCAACAAACGAATTTTTTTCCCCCAACAAACCGAGTAACGCTTGGCTCTGGTTCAAGTTTGGCTTGTAATCTTACAGATGAGTAATGTTATTTATATCATGTTTTTGTACCATATTTTTATACTATCTTAGATGGCATTTGATGTGGACAGCCACATCATTTGAATTAATTAGATTTTTAAATTTAGTTCCTTATGTAATAAACTAATAATTAAGAAAAAACTAGTTAATTAAATAATGATTGTCTCATTCCTTTCTTTGGCTTTGGAAAATTTTCAAATTATGTAGCAATCCACATCTGATGCCACCCAAGGTAGTATAGAAATGTGGCATAAAAACATGGTATAAATAACATTACTCATTACAGATATATAATTAAGACTATAAAATTGTTCTAAATTAAAGGCTATACAAAATGTTAAAATTCTCGCACAAATATCTAAAAACTATGTACACAATGTTGACGTACGCCACAAAACCAATTTAATGATTCTTTTTTAATATTTTCTATATAGATAAAGATCATAAAGTACACAATATGTAAACAAGGGTTTTTTTATACGAGTCAAAGTAACTAAAAATTGGACCTATTTTAAAAGTCAAAAGTCACTAAAAATTGGACCTATTTTAAAAGGTAGTCTATAAAATTGGACTTATTTCAAAATTTCCCTTTAAACAATCGGAAGTGAATTATAAAAAATTAATTTAATATTTACTATATATATTATTCTACACTAAGGGAGGAGAGGAATACCAATGATACATTTTCTATAGTACTTCTAATCAAACATAAGTTTATTATAGAAATTGAAAACTTTTTTTTTTTTGCCAAACGATAGATTTTGTTAGATTAGCTACCGACAGAATTCGAACTCACATTATCATGCAAGGACTTAACACATTTTCACCATTGTGGTAAAGGGCTACTTGCCCAAAACTATTATTTAATTCTAATTTGAGGTTACTAGTCTCTTCTCTATATTTCGGGTTTCTTGAGATGAATATTTCTTGTTTCTTAAATGTTTACCTATCTATCTATCTATTTCATTTTTTTCTCATCTGATGTAATGTTCACGTCCCACAATAAATGGAAAAATTGACCTGAATTAAAGAAATAGAAAATTACCCTGAGTTACTTTATTTGTTGATATATATAGGAAATTTTTAAGGGAGGGGATCCCCATTTTTTATAAAAATAGGGATTAGTTGTGTGGTCCACACTACATCGAACTTTAACGATTTGAACCGTCTATTTTTCAAGTTGCACCTCATAGATCATCCTTGCAAAATATTAGCCAAATCAGAAATATTTAAGAAATCTAATTGGGTTCAAAAAAATTAACGAATACTTTGTTATATAAAAAACAATGAAAATTGATCTTGATAATTAAATAGGCACATAGTTTCGGATTGAATTGAATTTTTGCAAGGATGATCTATGAATCAAGACTTACAAAATAGACGGTTCGGATGTTGAAATTCGATGTGGAGTGAGCCTCACACCTAATCCCCATTTATAAAAAAAAAAAAAAAAATGGAGATCCCCTTGCATAAAGGGCCTATATATAACTATAAAGCCAACATCCCTTTTTGTAACTGTTGCTTATTAACTTTTCTAACATTTTTCAAGACACTTAGTACTACGGTCTAATGATATTCTTTTTCACTAGTAAGTAAGAGGTTTTGGGTTTGATTCTCGCCAAAGGCGAATTTGAACCACATTATTGCTAGCTCATTGTGAGGCTTAACCCACTACCCCACCCTTTAGTGTAGATAATATTGTTTATTCAAAAAAAAAAAAAAAACATTCCTCAAGACACACTGTTGCTAATGATAATCATTGAAGACACGAAAAATAAAGCTAGAAGATCCGTCGAAGACTAAGATGCAAATGGGGATGCTGGTTGGAAGTTTTATCTTTTGATACTAACTTCATTGTTAATCATAGCTTTCTTCCCTAGTTGAGGGCTTTTTCAAAATTAGGAGGGTATCTTGGTGGAAGAAATCACTAAAACGAAATGGTCTATGCTCGAAAGTGCCATAGCATGAAAAATCTCAAAAAAGAATACGTGATTGTAGATCAGTCCGTGGGTAAGATGGAATTTCAATAGGACCTATTTTACCGACAGGGTTTATCACAAATTTAACTACTTTAAGAGCTCGGCCTGATCTAAAAAAGATCTTATGTGGGCGTTAGCGGATGTTTTTCAAGGAAGTTATAAGTAATGCAATTATGAATCTCACGAAGAGTTTGATTCTCATTCAGGATGAATGCTAGCGGGAATTACCATAGAAGAGCCTGCCCCTGCTAGCTAACATAGAAAGAAATCTATTCCCGGATAGCAATAGTCTCTATGTGAATCTCTTCCAAATTCGAATTGGTTCCTGGTCTTGGCCAGAGACCACTCTGTTCGCACCAGCAGTCCAACAAGTATTCTTACAAAATTTTATCATATGATTTTGTGAGTCTTTCTGACTTTCGAAAGGGTTATTGTGATGACGAAGTCACCAATTAGTACCTTAAAAAACACTTATGCTAGATCAAAACTTTCGCCCACTACCAAGCTGTAACTTCCCAATTCTCACTTACAATCCCATTTTTTTCGCTTCCACTCTAGTATTTTATATGCACTTTCTCATTCCCATATCAAAATTCAACTAATCTCTATATGCTCCGTCATATCTTATGGATGAGTTACTGTAAGTTTTTTCTAATTTCAGTCGCACTTTTTTAATATCAATTGTTGATGGTGCAATATATACAAATGAAATCTAACGTTTTATTTGATTAAAGGATCTTATTCTTTATCGTGTTTTAAGCTAATTTGTCACGCCACAGATCCGGAGTTGACGAAAAAATAAACCTCACGCCTAGTGCATGAGTAAAAGTAAAAATAAAAAGACAAACAAGCTTCTCTTTTACAAAATAACTCCAAATTCCTTACATGAGTACAAAATAAATTAAAATCCTTAAATCTCTTGTCTAATACAATCCCATCTCGTCTAGCACCTGTCTTGCTAAGTAACTTCTGTAAAATAAAATGGTGAGGGATGAGCAACAACCACCTTTGCACAATGAGCAGAATATGTAATATGCCAGTCAACCAATGTCGTTTTACACATGCTAGAAAATATGAGAGTAATATCAAAGCGTTAGCCATATAGTTCCCTATCACATCGTCCCCTTACATGTTGATTATATCCAAAATAAATTATAACTCACCATGTGACCCTTAATGGCCATTCTGCCCTAATGTCCCTTGACATTTATCCCTCAGATCAATACAACACCAAAGTTCTCATACTGAACATCTCAAACAATTCACTAATTCGATAAATAAGAACTCCAAAAGTACTTTTCAAAATAAATATGCTTGACTTGAAATGGTGAGAGATTTGTAAATGGAGTAAAATCCCACGATAACTCATGATTTTGGTTTAAAAATTAAAAATATTTCGAACACATTACATAAACCACTCATCTCGAAACCTAAAAAATTGGCAAGACAACCCATCTACCAAATCTCACGCATCAAACCCTAGCTACATCTTGTTCTCTATCTCTGCAATACGTGAGCTTAGCATGCAATGCATGCTAGCTCATGTTGTAAAACGAATTGAGAGCTCCTATTTATAGGAATATCAAGGCGGCATAGTCTTTGCCACCACCAGCTTGGTGCTAAACCTTAGTCACTACAAAAAATGACACCTATCAACTACGTGGCCATTTCAAGTTACTGCATGGAGACTAATTGGTTTGCATAGCTATTGATCGGACACTTGGTCAAATAGGTGGCCATATAGCTTAGTCATAATAGTAATAATGATTAATGAGGTGTGAATATGCATAGCATAACAAGTCTCTAACTTGGTAAATAAGAAAAAAGCTTACTAAGCACCTAGGGTTAATCCTAGTGAAAATAATACTAAAAAATACGGGATCTCGCATAATTTTTCCTTTGAAAATGTTTGCTAGACAATTCATAATACATTGGATTTGCGTACAGGTTTGTACATTTGATCTTCTTTACAAAATTTGTAACAGATTTCGTTATGTTCTTACTCTTCTCAGTCTGTAGTCGTTTCCCACTTCACACTGCTCCAAACTTTAATCGCCCAAAAGAGTTTTTTCGATAATAATTATTTACAAGACAACATCAATTGTCTACTCTGACTTCCAATGTATATATAGTAACATTAATATTGATATTAGTTGTACACAATGTGGCATGCATATATATATATATATATACACACACACTAATGCAAATTTTTCTCTTTTTCATCTTTGTTGCTTCAATTGATGAAAGCAAATTTGAATTCATACATAGGGTGAGTCGTTAAGCTGTTACAGTCTTTCGGTACCCATATGCTCCTTCATGTATTTAGTGCCTTTTAGTTTTAGGGCACAGTTTTGGACACCGCCCTTTGTCCATGTCCTCCAAATACCCTAACCTTGAATTTTTGCTTTTATCGTTTGAAACACAATTGAGTTTTCCTCGCAAGCCATAATTGAATATGTCCGTGTTCAGATTTATGACTCCAATTAGCTCAAAGGTATTGTTCTTTTATGTGGTAAGGTGGATTAAAAAATGGGGAAAGGAATGAATTAAACTGGAAGATCCAAAGATGGCAAAGTGGAGAATTTATTCCACTGTTTGGTAGGATGAAAGAAAAATTTAGAGGGAAGCGACTTCTTAAAAGATTATTTTTTGATAGACTTGCGCTTAGTCAAGTTAGTTAGAAAAATTTGTATGTCTCAAATCTAAATTCTACCCTGTCTCCTCATAATTTGGATAAATATACGTTATTGCGTTTAAAAATTAATAAAATTGAGCTAGTTGGAGTCATAAAAATGACAACAAAAAGTTATTGACCTAGGATATATTTTAATTAGATTGTTATTGATTCATATAACAAGGAAAAAGAAAATAAATGGTAATGAAAGTGAATGAAAAAAATAAATTATTTTGTGGGCTCTGAACCGTTACACATAATTGCGAATATTCTTTTATTTTCCTTTTGATGAGTTGGGCTGGGATTACAAGACTATAGTGCATTATTTTATTATATTTTTTATGCTCAAAAGATGCATTATTTGCTACGAAAATATTATAGCAAAATATACTCTCAAAGGCCACACACTTGGGTTTGTTGTCCCGCGTTGGTGAATCTGCTTGATTGTGGTCACAGACAAAGTAAAATTCTCCATAGCCTTCTCAGGTCAGAAAATGATGAATAACTATGATTTGCCACCAATTGTCCTCCTTTTTTTATTAAAAAAAAAGGGACAAACACTCATTGTAAGAGATTTTTTATTTTATTTTTACAATAGTAAAAAAGGGACAAACACTCATTGTAAGAGATTTTTTTTTTATTTTTTTATTTTTACAATAGTAATTTGTTTTTAAGGAAAAACTAATGAAAATGGCTTGAAAACTTTGAGTTTTAATGACAATGACAAAATAAAAGGTAAAGTGAATAGTATCAGGATTGACTTTTTAGTATAAAATTTGGTTTTTCGTTAAAGTGAACAGTACCAGAAGCATTTTGTTAAAATTCGCTTATTTTTAACGGGTTAAGAAGAGGGGAGAGAGAGAAAGCGCACTAGGAGAAAAATGTGAAAGAAAGAGGAAGGTGGAAGGAAAATTAGGGATTACCTCTATAGCTGTTAGGGAACTAAATTGTTTTCTCCCACATGGATATTTGATATCTGCTTGTCCTTGAAACATCTTCATCATACATCTAGGCTTAAGCTTTCATACAAGGAACATTGCAACTTTGATGCGTCGAAAGAATTATCAAGGAATAAAGTATAATCCATATTTCAAGGCACTTCAAAAATCTCATTTTACACTCCTCACAAGTGTATTTTTCTTTTCTAATATAAAAAGTTTGAAGTATAAAATGAGATTTTTGAAGTGCTAATAATAATTCCCTATTTCAAATATCATGTAAATTTTAATGAAGTAGTTTTGCATTAAAACTTCATACATAAATCTAAATCCTAAATCTTGCTCAACCTGTTATCTTTAGGTGGAATCGACCTTGAAGTTCGTGAGAATCTAAACGGGGTACCAATTGGGAGTTGAAAGATAAGTACCTAAAATAAATTTACACCAATACTTCTATATTATGAGTTCATCTAATAAAGAAAATTAAAAGCAATTCAACAACTTCCTTTATTTCCATATTAACAAATCATCAGCTAGTCCACAAACAGAATAATTTTCAGACCAAGAGAAAAATAAATAAATGAATCAATAGTAGTACTCAAACTACAGATTAATCATTTATAATCTCGATAATATTCTCGTTTAATGAATATAAATTAACAGTCTAAACTATCTAACAAGAGAACATTACTTATCCAGCTTTACCCTAGATTTGCAAACGGAGTCGGCACTCTGGGTTCCAATAGTGATAGAAATGTTGCAATCGGTATAACTGGCTGCCTTCATCTTAAAGATCTTCCACAAGTTCACCTTGCCGTGCAGGGTAGTTTCTGAAGTAAAATTCAGCACTCCAACGACCATGTCACCCAAGAAATGCGAATCAGTTACCAATTTGTCAGCCAAAATACTCAAAACAGTGGTCATGTTGTGAGTCGAACGAGCCGGAACTGTGTCGTCCTTGATCGGAGCTTCGGCGACAACATTCCCATGGTAGCTGATATAAGCCGTACTATTCTCATACTTGAAGCCTCCATAATTTGGATTTTTCACCGTGACCAATATTCTTATCGATATATTTAACTTTATAACTGGGAAACCTACTAACTCAAATCCCTCTAGGCTTACTGGCTCGGTGAAAACCGAAGGATCTTTCGGTTTTAAAATTGTGACGAATAGAACGACTAGAACAACTATGGTGACAATGAAGAAAATACCAGTGACAGCAGCAAAGATTTTCAAGCATTTTCGAGAGCCTGCTTCCATGATTAAGGAAATTAGGGAATGTCTAATTTGATTTGGATCAATGAAAGGTAAGTTATATGTTGATTGAAAAACTTTGTTTCACGTTGTGACGATGTTGTATAGGCAAGGTCGATGATTTAAACAAGAAAAAAATGTGGTGTGATTTTGTCTGGTTGTATTTTTTAATTGATGGAGACAACAATGGAGGAGTTTGTAACAATGAGTTTGGAGGACGGTTGTCGGCCATCGTTTTTCATTTTTGTTTGTTTGTCAGAACATGGAAAACAGTTTGGACCAGAACATATGACAGCAAATGGGTTGGATCGAGCTTTGGAAGCCAAGCCCATTGAAGTAAGACAAGAATCGCGTTATTTTACATATAGTAAAATTAAAAGGAGGAACCTACATTTAATAATAAAAAGTGATTGAAAATTTGACAATTCAAGGGTTAAGAGATTGTTTGTTGCTTCCATATCTCGAAAGTTGATGTTTTGGATTTTTAGTGATATCTGGATTAACGCAACTTTGACTTGACATACTTGATTTACAAGAGTTGATGTTACAGATTTGGGCAAATTATGTTGTTTAACATGTTTAATTCGGATTTTATTATTTAAAGTACAATTTTTAATATTTTGTTATTTGTTTATTTCCTTTCCTATTTAGATACTTAGGGTTTCTAGGAAAAAAGAACATTAGAAATAGGAAGTAAGAGGCATAAATTATAAAAAGAATCTTGGAACAACCTTTTCATTTATTAATCATAAGCGAGAAAAGCAGGATATTACGGTGAGACGTGAAAATACCTGATTGCATTCCAACCTCGAATTGTGGAATCATTTTGTACCATATGGATATATATTGAGATTGTTCGAGAGACATATCCCAAGTCCAGTATAACTGTATTTTTTTCTATTACTACGTACTATTACTACTACAAAAATTGATAGAAATTTATAAGATTATAGTTGAAGAGAAAATTCTCCAATTGAAAAAGATCCTTGAAAGAAACCCATCTCTTTTAGCTACTTATATGTCTGGTGTATGCTCCCTCTTACGAGAAAACACATAATATTTAATTATATGGTGTTTTATTTTTGAAGATGGAGAGGGGAGAGGATCCTCTATGTCTTATATGTACATGTCCACCTCTATATAGTACGAGGCCTTTTAGGAACTCATTGGATTCGGATTCCATCGGAACTCCGAAGTTAAGCAAGTTGGTGAGATCAATCCTAAGATGGGTGACCCACTGGGAAGTTCTCGTGTGAGTTCTCAAAAACAAAACCGTGAGGACGTGGTCGAGCCCGGGTCGGGATGCGACATCACTCCAACTTCAACATGTAGAATCATTTTGCGTTATATGCATTGAGATTGTTCGGTAGACAGTCCAAGTCCGGTATAGCAAAGGAATTGAAGAAGAGTATTTCATAACTGTACCTTTTTTCTTCTAGTACTACTACTACAACATTTGAAAGAAATTTGTAATATACAAGGAAGTACTCTAGGCTTCTGCCCTAACTAAATCAATTGTATCCTAGCTAGGGCATGATAAATGTAGGAAGAACATGATAATGCAAAACCGAAGTTAATTCATCACATAAGAAAAGTCAAAATTGAAAGGAATATCACAACTACCAAATTTCCATGATGCAAACTTCCTTGTGATAGTGGAAGTTGAGTAGGAAGTGAACATTCTTCCCCATTGAAAAACACTCTTGAAGGAAACCCATCACGTTTAGCTACTTCTATGTCTGGTGTCCGCTTCTTCTTAAAAGAAATAACAGATTGTTGCTTTCCAGGCACCCTAGGAGCTTTCGGGTTCGATCCATTTGTCTCCGCCACCAAAAAAGTCAAGCCCTTTAAGCCTTGGAGGAAGATGATGTCCTCCAACGTCGGAAGTTTGGTCCCATTGAAAGAATATGCATTTTCGTAACCGGGAGAAGCTTTCTTGAGTTGCACTGCAGCAAACCAATCTTCAAAATTCATGTTAGCCCAATTGAATAGTGTCATTCTAGCTGTCCATCCATCCTTGTAATCTGATAAGACATGCCAATTTACACTAACCGGACAATTGTTCCCACAAGGCAGTGGCTTGGGCACGTGATGGTGCTTTATGCTTGCCCAAGCTATGGCCTTCTTCGTCCTATTTTCGAATGGGACGAGAAGAGTTTCTGGAGGGAGAAGAATGGCAGGGGCTTTCGGGTTGCATTTTTTCGTGTCGGTACAACCACAAGCACATGTTCTGCAGGGTATCACAGACTCATTGTAATAAGCAGAGAATGAAACACAACACTTGGGTTTCCTAGTTTTGGCTCTTGTGATGTTGCAAATTATTTGCCAGCTTGCAATAGCTAAGATTGTAGCCTGAATCCCACTTGGGTCTGGAAACTGAGCAGGGTCCACCCTAATAGGCTGCCCACATTTGTATTCCGGATTAAGCACCCCCTCCACTTTGAATTTTTCAGGAGGATACAGAGCCGTTCGATTCAAATCAGGAGGTACTTTGAACACCTGCATTTGAAAAGCAGCCTTGGTTTTGCTTTGATCCATTATAGCAGGCAAAATACTACCATTTCTGCAGCAATTAGGTATTTTCCCAACTTGAGTATCGTTTGCTTTCTCTCGAGGTAGGTCTCCGATAACTGGATTTTTTTGGCAATTCAAGACCTTGGAGAAATCCATCTGTTGATAGTATTGTCCGGGAGCACCATATATGCAATTCAAATAGTCAATCGAACGCGGATAAGCACCTTTCATGGAGTATATAAATTCCCCTCTCATCCATTCCCAAGTTAAGTTCCAATGGTCCAAACGTCCCAAAGGGCTCTTGTTCTCCATTGTCACCTGAGCAAGATAATTATTCTCATAGGCTTGAATGACATCATATGCAATTGTGAGATCACCCTTTTGTCGAGGCAAGAACTTGGTTTTCGTAACAATGGACTTATATTTAGGATTCCTAACGCAACAAACGTACATTGTCGTTTCTGTATGGCCATCACCAAATCAAGACGAGAAAAGAACTCACAAATTAGAATGGTAATAGTATATAAATGAATGACGAGAAGTTCTGTTGCTAGACTGTAAATCTGGATGACACATTCAGGTAAGAATCAGCGGGATGAATGAGTAGTACTTACTACGATTGGTTGGTGCAGGGCACTTGTATCCATCGTTAACAAGTCGAATTGTTTTAGGCATTGGGTTCCCGGGGGGCTTGACACCAAACATAGTGCCACTGATTTGAATTTTGGCTTGAATTTTGGTGTAATCTCCACCAGTGCCAATGGCGGTTTTCAAATCTGCCTGTCCTGCTCCAGAGAGGTTAGTCCCATTTCCAACATCAGCCGGGAAATCATCACCGTCCATCAAAACGGCACCACCTGCACCAACTAGAATCTCCTTGTGTTGAAACCCAATGTACATCTTCCAGGCTTTGAGTTCGTACGTTCCCGTGTTGACTATGGTTGCAGTCGCATTGAAGGCCCATGCTTGTTTCTCAGCATTCTTGAGGAAAGGGTAGATTCTTCGCCGGGAAAGGAAGTTATAGCTTAGGTAAATCCCGTCACAATCTTCTTGTGATGGGGGTGGTGCAGCAGGTTGCTGTTGCTGATCATCGCCATAATCTTGGGCTATGGCCAAAGAAAATCCAAGGGCAAACATGAGTGCGGCAATCCACCAAGACCTTGTCATGTCTTTTTACGCAGCGTAACAAGCATAAGACATCAAACGGTAACCCTACAACAAAAGCGTCTGGAATCCATCGGGATTTTTTTAATTTTTTTACATCACTTTTATTCACAATTACTCGGAAGTCTAATGCGACATCGGTGTGATAGTTAGGAAGAATGCGATTGAAATGGTTAATTTCTAATTAGGTAGCTTTTTGGAGGACTTGACTTGCTAGATGAAACTTGGTAGCTTGGATTTTGCTAAATTGTTTCAAATTGTGGAGTCAGGGGGAAAGAATTGAGAAATGAGTGCCGAACGATGAACTCAAAAAAATTGAGAATTGAGAAGACAGTGATGAATTTGTGGAGAATAAGTCAGATGAAACCTCCTCCCTTGAGCTCCCGCTGTATAAGGCAAGGTAACGATTAACGGTCATTTGAACTTTATAAACTCTCTAAATAACCGAATGACAAATATATCCTGGATTCTCTTTGGTTCAAAAGGAGAAGTTGTCAATTACATTACTTTGGTGAGAGATTAAAATGTTTTAGATGTTTCATGTTCATGTTGGTCACTTTAATTAATTCGCACTAACTTCAATTGTCTTTGGCATTTTAATATATAATTGGAAACCTTTTCTTTTGGCCCATGTAAACTATTCAATTTAGAATAAGACAAAATATCTAACAGATCATTAAAAAAATGATAATGATATTCACACATTTATTTTTACCTCTCATACTCTTGTTAATTTTTGGCTATATCTTCTTTAATTCATTCAATTCGACAGCAGAAAACTGAGCGGGGTAAGTAAGAAGTAAAAATGGGTGTGTGGATCGCACTACACTAAAAAAATTGTTGTTTATGTTCACATTCGTCCATGCCTATTTTTCAGTTAAATATGGTGCTTAATGTTTGTAAACTGTAGTAGATCTGTGCAATTGAATATATATATATATGCTTCCTATATCAGGCGGAAGGGATCCTAATTTTTCAAAAAAAATGGGAACACCTTTTTGATCATTAGATTTGACTTTTATGAAATTTTGTGGCTGAGATTAAATCACAAGTCATAGAATCTCAACCACAGGATTTCATTAAAGCCAAATCTAACGGTTAAGAAGATGTCCTTATTTTTTTTTAAAAATGGGGATCCCTTCCCTTATATATATATATATTACTTGTATTAAATACAGTAAATTTGTAGATGATGAAACACAGCAAATTTGTAGCTTTTTTAATTCTTATTTTATTCTGGTCATAAAACAAAATACATAGAGCCTAATGGCAAAAACCCATATTGAGCCGAAACCCTAATATCATCATGTCGTTCCACTCAACTGGTTAAGTTCAAACCCTAGACCCTGAACTATTAATTCGTAAAACCTTATTATGAGTGACAGAACTAATCAACGACTATGCAACCAAGGAATACGTTGACACAGAGTTTGCGGAGGCTGGAATCCACTTCGACCACTCATTACGTCGTCGTATCATATTACCTTGCACTTCTACTCTAGTTGAACCAAGCAACGACTCAAGAATAAAGGGTATGTCACTGCACATTCTCTTAAGCCTTTTGAAGTCGGCAACTGCTGATATTGGCACCCATCCTTTGTCATCCATCAACGAAATTAGGTAGCGGTCCTTTCTCAAATTTTCGTTGCTAAAATAGTACTCTATTTGTTGTATAATATTCTTCCTCAAATTCGATATTCTGGCTGGAAGGCTTTGATCATCAGCCATGATCGTTGGAGCTTGAGGACCATAATAATATTGAGGCCCTAAGAAAAACGTAGATCCAAGTCCAACACCACATTGCATATGAATGTTGTAAACGCTAATTGGTTGATTCCAGTAGTCACCACCGAGTTCTTGCATATTCGATGCATAGTCATTGACAGAGTAATTGTTTTGGGGTATTGGGTGATAAATAAAAGTTTGTCCATGACGTGTTTGGGACAAATTCATGAGGGGTGGAATGTGAAGTTGAAAAGATGGTGCTTCAGGATTAAGGTTTCGTTTAGGCATAGACATCTTCAAATTTTGTTGTGCTTGGAGGTAGGAGAAGAAGATAATCGAGAGTATTTAGTTCTCTGAGTACTACTACTGAATATGTAGTGAGAGTTTGAGACTCAGCCCGTTTTTATAGTGTTTTCTTGCCTTAGTAGTTTATGGAAAATTAAAAATCCTTTTCCTTGGTGGAAATCAAAAAGGGTATTTAGTTTTTAAAAAGGATTACGGTTTCATACATCCTAACCAGAAAAGGGTATTATTGCAATATAACCAACATGTGTTAGGATTCAATTTTCCTTTACTTTTGTTATTTCCTTTTTCTTTGGATTTCTCAGTGAAATCATGATCCTATACAAATTCAATCCCACTACGGATACCCCTATTCCCATCCGGGATTCTCACAAAGTCGGCAACAGGATGGGTTTAAAATATGTAAATTTCACAAAACTAAATCCCAAAACCAATAGGAAAACCCACTATCGTGCACCAGCACAACTAAAACCTCACTTGCATGCTTATTACAAATTAAACTAAGAAGTGAAAAGAAAAAAACTGTTGTCTTCCTAAACTGGTCGTCACCCTTTGCCACAATGATCATCCACATTCACATTTTTGTTCCAAAAAATTTCTCCCACCACTTAGTTTTGCATCATGCATGCATTTCTAAAATTCACATAAGCTATGTCCAATTTTTAAGAACTTAATCCCTTCACAATCTTGTGAACATGGTAGAGTAAGCAGAACATACGAGCATCCAAAATCGTTGCTATGCACATTGACAGTGCCTTTTAACTTTTGATCGATCAAACTCAGAATCTTGCACTCTTTCTATGTTGGCAGGTTCTGTGTTGCCTCCATTTGGGTGTACGCAACCGCATTCTACTTTGATCCTCGTGAAGATCTTCCCCCCGAGCTTGACGAAGATTTGACCTTTTTTCGCTTTGGTTTCTTGGGCACGTTAGGAAGTTCAGTCGGAGGAAGATCTCTGAACGTGCCAGATGACGGTTGTTGGGTTATGGATTGATCAAAATCTGTCACAAAAAAAATTAAAGAAACAAAAAGAATAAGAGAGGTTAAAGTGTCTTCAAAGTGATTCAATCATGCAAATTAAGTGGCACTATATAAAATAAATTGGTGAAAGCAACATACCACAGCAAAGATACCACAATTAGTTGAATTGCTAAAATTGAAAGTTAATCCACTACGTTCAGCTAAAACTATGTCTGAATAGTACAAGATAATTACTCCATTATCTGCATGTAATATTGCTATATCAATCTAAGACCAATGACATAATGACTGCGTTAGTAATGTTCAAGCAAACCTATTTTTTAGGTTTTGAAACAACTTGAACGCAATCAAGTTGGTCGAAACAGTGTGTTTTCATCTCCGTAATAAAAAAAATGTCTCGAACTGATGGCCAAATCTAAAAGAAAAATTCTCAACCAAATGAAAGTAAAGTAGTGGTACAAAAATCTCAAATTTAGCAACCCTGTGGACCACTATTACCAAGACTAAGCTAGGCTTTTTCTAAAGGGCCACCCCAAGCTATCATATTCCTCTAGGTAGGAAAGTGTGTGTTGTCCCGTGACAGAAGATCCAAAAATCTTACAGTTGGGGCAAAGAATCTTGAAAGCTTTTGCACACCTCATAAATCTCATTAACATTAAACTAAAAGACATTAATTACATTTCTCCTAAGACAATTGACCCCGTGAAAAAAACACTTGTCTGATTATTGTACTCGCACAACTACACATGATAGGAGGCATAGTTTAATGGAACATATTGACAGAGCCTTTAAATTATTCATATGACACCCAGGTCCCAGCCATCAGCTGTGCATTATTTTGCCTAGTATGCATTCCGCTAGCCTAATCGTACATACGAGAGAAATTTACCTATGATTAGGATGTCAAATGCAACAATATCTCAAGTCAATCAAACAATATCAAGCTTGTAAGGTACTGTCACTGTGGCGTCCTAATTGTAGGTTATTATCCATACTACATAGTCATGTCATTGAAAACACAAAATGCTGAAACTGCTATATAGTGGTGATCAAAAGCATACCTTGAGAGGACCAAGGAGAATAAGCCATGGGATTAGAGGACCCCATTCGATCACTGGCATTACGACCAAGGGAGCTCGTTGAAAAATCGGGTCCGTTTTTAAATTCGTTCATCTGCTTGATTAACAATAATTTAACTCAATAAGAGAATTACGAGAGCAATAAGAAAAGAAGCACATGATTTGGTTGGTAGGTTTGTAGTATAATGGGAGACACGATAAGACAAATCAATAACAGGAGAGAGATTTATATGTGGTTTAAGATAGGTAGCTAGGTTGTACGACACTATTTGCATCTAAGTTTGAATCTTTTCGCATAATATAGAACAAGAGAGAAAAAAAAAATTATTTTGCAGGTAGACTAGAAAGTAAACATGTACCCAGCTGGGTGCGCTTTCAGACGGCCCGTCCCAACCAATATGTGCTACATGTTTCACATCTGTTGGGAGCCCAATTTTCATTTCACGCTCCTTCACAACTGCAACAGCAAAACCAATTTTACAGCTTAATTAGCCTCAAATTATCAAAATTAGGCATAATTATTATTTTTCTTACAGGAAAAATATTGTGGTTAATTACGGACTTTAATCTACATGGTAGGGGATTCGAATTAAGATGCAAGTGGCACACTAACCTCGCCAACTGGTCTAACCAATATTGACAAGGAAAATTGATTTAATTGATACATTAGAGAAAGCGAGAGATAATTACGCACCAAACATTTGTGAGAAGTACTTCAAGATCTTTGCCATGGTGGAAATTACAAGCCCCAAATGAAACAGCAGCCTCTTTAAGAATGCACACAACAAAGCTAAAGATTGGAAGAGATGGATCCTGTTGCCTGCAAGAAAGTAAATATGCACTCAGAATGATGAGATTTTGCATAAAATAATTTCAAAGGAGAAAAAAGATAAGAGCAGTATCCAATAAGGTTCACTGCATGTGATTTGGGAACCCTTTTTTTTCCCTGTCAATGAAGACTAGTATCTGACCATGGATTTTATGAGATATTTGATACATTTTTTGAAGTAAAAAGGGAAAAAAAAAAAAAAAAACCTACTTTGAGAGGTTGATTGTTTAGAAGAAAATCAACTCCTCCTCCATATCCAACCAAAGTAGCCAATTTCCAAGCTCCATCTTTTTACACCAACCTCTTATGGATATCAAAACATGCATAAAACAACCCTTTGGAATGTCTTTTGTCGCAATAACAAAAACCCGGAAACAAACTACTGTTTGAAGCTGATTAAACAAATGAAAATCAATGGAAGGATATACCCAAAAAAATGGGAAAAAAACGGAGAAATAATGGTGTGATGGGATTTATCTGCAAATGTGTAGAGAGAGAGAGAGATGATAGAGAGAGAGGGTGGACAAAAATGAAAACCTCAACAAACGACGGGTGTGAAATACGGGACAAAACTAAGATGAAGAGAGTGGAAGACAATACAAAAGAAATTGGGTGGTGCTCGTTTACTTACTTTCTTTCAGAAGCTCTCTGGAAAATGCAAGCGGCTAGCTATCCTCCATATAATGCAAGATATACTTAAATTGCGGGCTAAAATCTGATACAAAGAGAGATAGGAGGCTGTATTTGTGCAGTCTCTATGACAAGACTGGCTTCCATAGCAGTCTACCTTGGCTATTAAGACTATGTTTATATATTTTAGTCTTAAACCAATGGAGATTAAGAGGGGAAGGGAAGTCCCCCTTTTCATTTTTTTTTTGTTGACAAAATCACCCTTTGAGTTAAGGCGTGCTTTCATGCACGAGGTGCATGAAATTGGAACGTTAAAGCGGTGATATCACAAATCAATCACATTATGTGAAAAAATTAAAATACATGACAACACGTGATAGATTTAGAATATCACCACTTTGATGCCACAATTGCATATAAATTTCTTACATACACAATAGCCTATCTAATTTACGCTCCTCACAAACAAGTCCTTCAAGATAATTTCCTTACATAGCCTAAACCTCGTCATCGTTTTCAAGAAAGAATCATCGAACCCAACTATTATTACATCGAGCATTAACCATTGATAGGTAAGCGTTTTTCTTTCTATAATTTGATTTTTATAGCATTTTTCACTAATATATTAACATTTGGTAGAGGGTTACACTACAGGCATTTTTTCATAAACAAATTAATTACATACGTTGAAGGATGTTTTTCAGTTTTAGTAGTTCAGCAAACATGGTAAAGAGGACATTTCATTTTTTTATTTTTGCACCTAACTATCAATTCAATGGATTACCCCAAGGTTCCAATATAGAAAATTTTAAGACAGCAACAGGTTAACACATTGTCCAAATTGAATCCTTCCATGCTTAGACATTTATTTAATACAATTTACAATCCAGCTTTCACTAATTTTTTCAGCCAGCTGATCTGAGCTCTGCTTTGTATTTTTTATTACAAATTCAATGCGCAACAATAATAACACTAACAACCAAGTCTTATTCATTACTCATTAAGTGTGATTGGCTATAGAAATCTTACAACGCCATTGTGGTCGGTTTTGCACCAAGTCTTTCATTAGCTCAAGTACTTCACAAACAAGAAAAAGAGATGTTTAATTACAAACTCACACTAATTCCTTCCATTTCTTTTTGCTAATAGATTAATAGATTATAGGTAAAATAAGTCAAGCACCAAGAACATTATTTCTATAAAATAAAATAAAAAATACAGATTACGTATGACATATGGATCTAATATATATATATAACAAGCAGCTTTTAGCCGTTGGTGCCAACTGTTCGGCATGGATAATTCCAACAATATTATATTTTCTAACTGGTGAAAAATCATTTTCAGCATTGTAATTAATTAGGCCTCTTAATTAATATATGGTTTTAAAAAGAAATTGTTATTAGCACTTCAAAAATCTCATTTGACACTCTAAACTTTTTATAATTAGAAAAAAAAATAAACTTATGAGTAGTATAAAATGAGATTTTTGGAATGCTAATAACAGTTTCCTTTTAGAATTATTAATTTTCATGTAATAGTTTATTCTCAACTACTTGAATTGTAGCGTATCATCTTGCAATCATATGCTGCTGTGGCTTAGCTGTTCTAATACATTAAACATGTAGAACTTTTGTTGTGTTGGAAGCACGTTTATTCATTCTGGTTGCTTCTTTTGGTCTGCAAATTATGCAGCAAGATCTAAAACGGGAATGTGTTGCTCACCTAGAGGCCACTTTTTAGGGTTTTTGTTCAGTCATGGAGATCCTAACGTAATCCTCTAGATTCGTTGTATATCCAAAACATGCATTGCATATTAGTACATTATTAAACATATTAGCCTGATTTGGCATATAATTAGTTGGTTTAGCGACACTCGGTCTTCACTTAGTCAAAGAAGATTTCTGGTTCAACTCATAGATGTAGAGGCAATATACGTCGTTAATGAGTTCGATACATAGTTGTGGACCATTTTAACTTCTTGCTCGTAGGTTAACCACAAGTAAAAATATATTTGTAAACATCCTATTCAAAAAAAGAAATGTTGATTGGTTGACACCCAATTGGATGAATACTCAACATGTTGAAAAATGATCGAAGTCAATGCCCACTAGTTGACACCTTCATGGGTGTTACTGAAACAAGTAATTGTTGTTGAACATTTGTAGAAAGCAATGTGCCAAACCAGATTTTGGATAAAGCTAGTGGGCATTGTCTAATCTTCTACACAAGTGGGAATCCCCCCAACTCACCCACTTTCAAAACGCATGTGAAATGCAAGGCACTATTCACTGTTGTTACCTTTTGTTATTGAACTTTTTTTGTGTGTCCGGCAATCAGAGCAAGTGTACTGTCTGATACATCCGCAAAGTAATGAGATTCTTCCCTTGAGGTTTGTACTATAGAGGACCAAGGGTGATGCCTAAGTACAGCATTTGTTTACGAGTGAATCGGAAAATCAAAACTGAAGAATTTCTAAATTTTACTTGCCTCACCCTTTCAAATAAAAATTCTCAGAAACAAATTTGTTGGACCAGTGATTGGCCCATCTCCATCCATTGGGCCGGGTGCTATTTTAATTGGAAGAGGGGATTAAGGCCCAATAAAACGAACCAAATACAGATAAAGCAGAGCCTAGCAACTTGAGCTTGGTCCCAAATGGCATATGCCTTGTTCATCTTACGTGTCTAAACAAGTAAAATCACGCACTCAGAAAGAAAGAAGAACTTTCATGCAATAGGCGATATCTTAAGCCAATCACTCATTGCCGTGTAAGCAAGTAAAAGAATTGGTGATACAAAATTGACTTAAAAAGCCGCCACAGTAGTGACAGTACCATCTCCAGATAAAAGGCATAATGACAGAAAATTAACCAGATAAAACGTATTTATTCCTTCAAGAGTCAAGAACAAGGTTGCAACAACATTTCAGCAATACTTTGCAAAACCCATTGTTTGGCTTGGGTAATAATTTATAAATTAGCCATAATTGAGTCGAAATATGTCGTTCTGCACAAAAAAGGTTCCTTCTGGAGTGGGAATCAAGTGGAACATCTGCAACCCAAATAATAAGAACAATAAATAAATAAATGTCCACATTTTAGTATTTTACCATGTTATCTGCAGAAAGTTAAATAAATAATTACCTGGCTGAATCTCAGGTGGTGTTCTTCCCCCGGTAACTGGAGGCTGCCGCTGACGAAGACCACAATGCCGCCACTTGGGGACGATGGCTGCGAATCAATGGTGCTGATCAAATGCTTGCATTGATCAAACGGCAGCTGATTAAGCTTGGAAGATATATCATTAGCGCCAAATAACTTTTGCCCCTCAAAGCTCAGCATAGAGGAAGGCTGGTAAAGGGAACAGAGGGAAGCTCTATCAGTGTCAAATAAATGGTAGTAGTGATCCACAAATGCCCTCCCCACCATTTCAGCCTGCTCTTCCATTTTTTGATCTTCGATCTTCTCTGTTTCTCTCTTCACGCGAACTTCCGCCTACGAATATAAGGAAGAGGGATTTTCCAAAAAGTTGCTTAACATGTACACTAAAGAAAAAGATGACACAGGATTTGTCTGCTTAATTAGTACGTGATGGCCATGATGCCCTTGTGAATTTTTCCTTGAGGAGGGATGGCTATAACAGATGAAGGGATACAAGGGTAATTGGACATAACAAAATGGGGAATCAAACACTGCTGCATTTCTACGGTTTGTGGGTCTTTTTTGTAGTGCCGAAAGTATGGAATATATACTTTTCTTTCGTGAACGACCACCCTTTCCAAAAGGATAAATCTTCTATGCAATATGCATTCTAATTTCTTGATAGAATATAGAGACGAGCTCGTTTCGGCAACACTTTAGCAGTTGGTAATTAATCAATGGTTTGCATTAGCGGATATTTGGGTAAATAAAATAAAATCAACAGACAATATTTAACAAGGACATGTGAGAAACTAAAAAGAGAGCGCGCACGTGACGTGTTTATCATTTTTTCTTAAATAAAAATTTAGTCATAAATTTGTTGGACCAAGAGACTGACCCATCTCCATCTCTTGGGTCGGTGGATATTCTGGTTTGGTTTTAATGAGAAACCAAATCCAAATGCATGACAATTTGTCTATGGCAATATTCAGTGGCATTCTACATTAAAGTTCAATCCTAAGTTACCAATCAAGTCTTAATTAAGTGTTGTTCTTGGCACCTGACTTTGACAACCTCCAGTCCAACGACTGCAACTGGTTTCTAAGATTCCATTTTTCCTAGAGCAATTCTACCGGCTTCTGCAGCGTTCAAGTCTTGTATCTTTGACTCAAGTTGAGAACCTAATCGCTGTCATTGTCTTGTTCTCATCCCTAAGTTTAGCTACAAGTTTTCGGATTCCTTCGCCCCTCTCCATTTCTGTCTCTGAAACAGTTTACACGCCTCTGCCTTGGGTATTGCGTTCTCTTGTCCTCCTTCTCAAGTGCAGATTCTTTATGTTTAAGAAATGTGGTCTCATATTCTAGCTGGTTGACTCTACCACGGGAGTGCAGTTTTTCTGCAGCACAATGCCAAGGAACATGGATAACCCTGCAGCATGTAATGTAATTAAAGTGAGCGAGCAACAAATTTATTCAATTAATCGAGGAAAATTCCACATCCTGTTTGGAAATGCTTCTCAATGAACAAAATCACTTTTAATAGAAGCACATCAAAAATTAATAAAACTTTTGAGTGCACCTTGTAGAAGCACATCAAAAGATGTACACTTCCTTAATTAAATGTTAATCTTCTTATCCCTGTTAGTTTGACAATCTTCGGACGTTAGTCACGCGTCACCAATCAGAACCGTTCACCTCAACGTTATAACGCAGTTCCGAGATTCATGTGTTATGCTCAAGAAGTTTCGTTACTAGCTCATTGAGGTCCTAGTTCACAAATTCTTCATACTCAAATGCATCCCCCATTCGTTGGATTCTCGTGTCCTTCTCTTGCATCTCCGCCTCAAGTTTAAATAGTTGTTGTTTAAGTCCTGCGGTCTCTTCTCGCTTGTTCTCAAATTCAGCGTCTATTGCTGAACTGAGCGCTGATACTTGAAACATGTGCTCTCATTGCTTTCTGCCTCAAGTTCATCATGCAGTTTCAATATTACGTCCCGCGACGCAGTGTCTTCTGTCGTAGCCGTCTCAAGTTTGGATTGCAACTCTTCGATTCTTATGCGCAAGGATGACAGTTGCTCCTTTAATTGTGTAATTGTTCAGGCAGATGCCGTATGGTGTAGTTTGTCTATAAGAAGAGCAAGGAATAGGGAGTACCCTGCAAGTAAGGCAACAAAAATGGGAATTAATGGTGACCACCGAAATACAAAATTTAATGGCGAGTACAATAAAAAATGAAGAGATTTTTTTTTCTCTTATGATTAGCAATTATGGTCCATGATATTTGAACTCGGACGTCCTCTAAAAAAATAAAGATTGAACGTCACTAGATTGAATAGTCATGTGCGCCACATAAAAGGATTAGTGTACCAAACGCTTTCACGGAAAGAAAGAAAAAAAGAGCGAATTCATAAAATATTACGTGAGAACGATTGCAAAATGGTAGCCATCAATCTCCTGAATCATCGTAACGTTGAAAACACAATACGTGATAAGCAGCCAGAAAATCCCTCGTGCTACGGTCATGGACAGAGGTCCGTGATTGTACTTGAAATAATCCGGACCCCTTACCATCACGTCCCCTTTGATTAAGTCGGTTCCCACCAACATCGCCAATATCGTAGTCATCTCCACGATTATGAGGAAGAACATAAACAAAACCGGTATTGTTACCATGATTAAGTGCGTGGAAGTTGAAGCAGGTTACCGTGTTAATAAAGGAAGAATGAATATTGTAGTGCAGAGAAAGAAGTAGGGTTTTGGTTTGTTTATGATATGTAACATCTCACATCGCTTAGGGGAGTGGATCCTGTAAGACTTATATGTATATTCCCATCTCTACTAGCACGAGACCTTTTGAGAGCTCACTGGCTTCTTAGTTCATCGGAACTTCGAAGTTAAGCGAGTTCGCACGAGAGCAATCCCAAGATGGGTGACCCATTGGGAAGTTCTTGTGTGAGTTCCCGGAAACAAAACCGTGAGGGTGTAATCAATGCCTAAAGCGGACAATATCGTGCTACGGTGGAGTCAAGGCTGGGATGTGGTGGGGGCTCGATCCAAGATGTGACAATTTGGTATCAGAGCCAATCTCTGGTCGAAAGTGTGCCGACGAGGACGTCGTGCCCCTAAGGGGGGTGGATTGTAACATCCCACATTGCCCAGAAGAGTGGATCATGTAAGCTTATATGTATATTCTTATTTTCGTGTGAGTTCCCAGAAACAAAACAGTGAGGGCGTGGTCGGGACCCAAAACGGACAATATCGTGCTACGATGAAGTCAAGCGCAAGATGTGGTGGATGGGTGACCCACTAGGAAGTCCTCGTGTGAGTTCCCAGAAAGAAAACCGTGAGGGTGTGATCGGGGCCCAAAGCGGACAATATTGTGCCACGATGAAGTCGAGCTCAGGATGTGGTGGGGGTCCGAATCGAGATATGACAAGATATATGTACTAATATTCTGTTATGGAATCCGTAAGTATAAGTCGTTCACATAAGATCACAACAAAACCGATTGTCTCAACTCTCCAGCAAAAGGAAGCTTGAGGAACAAGAAAGGATCTAGGGTTTATTATGACAAAATGTCTACTCTAATGGAAAGTGAGAAATTTGGAGGGGCAAAGCAAAGCTCAAGTAGGGTTGGGTCTTAAAAGGTCTATATAGGAATTTATCCATTCTTTCTCTCCTCTTTTGGTATTAAATTTGTTGCAATTGGACGAATTCGTATTCACAAATCTCACATTTCACCGAGATTTTGTGAAATCTCACTCAAAAGCCACATGAAAAAACTCTAGAAATCAACGAGAATTTCATCAAATTCTATGAATTTATATAAATCCACTAAAATTCCTCAAAATCCATTAGAATATAAGTTCTCATCTTCAAAAGAAAAGTGAGATAGCAAATTCTTGGTGAATAATTAAAAAAAAATGAACACATTTTAGAACCAAAAAAATTAGTACGTATATTTTGACTCACCAATGACCAATGTACACGTTCAACCTCCTAAATTGACGCTTCACCATGGACAATTAGCTAAATAAAAGCTTTGTTGCTGGTTTCAGATTTATAATCTAAACCTCTGAGCCAAGAGCTTTCCCTCCACTCATTGTCTTTCGTACAAGAGCCGAAACATCTCCTTCACCGGTGCCCTTCAAATCTATCACCAAACCTGTTCTTCAAGATTTAAGTAAAGTTTCTATCCAGCCAAAATTTAAATGCCAGAAACTATCTTAAATGACCGTATACTGCAACACGAATACCAATCACAATAAGATCGCGCAACCAGTACCCAAATTGACGCTTGAACAAAACGATTAGCTAGATTACACCTTCATCCAAGTACTAAAATGTCACTTCAAATATAGACCCACGGAAAGACTTGACGTATTGGCTACTATCAACCCTGTATCTATTCTTAAGCAGGCATCAGTTCCTCGATGCTCATACTAAAGATTCTAACAACCGAGACATACGAATATGATCAAAGCACACTCCGCAACAAGATTACTTGAAGTTTCTATTTTGCATCCCCTATCAAACAACATCTAATTGTTTTCTTTTACGAGATATAATGGTACTGACTCTACCCCCCACAAACCCTATCTCAAGCATAACCAAGTTTTCGGACCTCTTTGCAAACGCAAGAGGCCATCGCGAATGACAATCTCGTCCACAGTCCAGTAGGGCAACTCATCCAGCAAATGCAAATCACATTCACCTAGTCAAGTTATAACCAACGGAAGAAATTCTAGCAAGACAATGTTCATAAGAGAGAAATTTCCGTTTGCAACGGTCTGCAGATGAAGCAATAACAATACTCGTCTAATACAGAGGCGAGTAATCGGTTAATATACTAGCTTTAACAAGGAAAGCAAACACCTTGGTTGCAATGCCCTGGTCTGCTGACGACAATACCAAACATATATAACAAACATCATAAACGCAAAGCATATGTAATCAGGCGAAATTTTCTAATACATAGTTCTCGGTTCAAACATAATGTAAGCCCTGCTAATGCAGGACCAACTATCAAAAAGTACACATCTTTTGCATGATCAATTCGTTATCAAAGTTTTCGTTAACATAAATCTATCACCTTTATAGAAGCTCAATTCGCGAATTGACATGCTCATCCTCCCCGGGCTCAGTTCCAGCTCGTAGGCCAAAAAGCATGCACCCCGTAACCCGTCTTCCAGTTATCCAACTGGATCACCTTCTTCACCGCCAAGAACGAAACAAACAGTGCAATAATCATCACAATGCGCTGCACCTTGACACTGCGAACCGTAACAAGCACGCGGGTGAGGAATGCCAGCAACAACCCGACAATGGTGTACAAGAATCCGACAGTGAACCCCTCTGTTCCGAGCTGCATTCCGGAGCCCTGGTAGAAAAATATGAGCTTGGAAGGATCCTCCCTATCAACCAAAAACATGGGCATGTTCCTAATGATGTTATGCATTGCGCCCGAGACGCTGAAGAAGTAAACAAAAACCGACCCCGATAGCCAAATCCTCGGATCGTGAAGCAATGTCTTGCCACTGTAAACCTTCTTCGCAATGAACGGCATGCAAATCAGCCAGGCAATGGTGACGAACATAATCTGGTTCTTGGACAGCATCGGAGGCCGATGGATCGGACCCACGACGAGTTTGGTCTTGGACTCGATGAACTCGGACATTGACTCGGCCAATCGGGAGAAATCGCCCTGGTCCATCTGCTGGGACTCCTTCAGGCCGTGGGTGGGGCCGATCAGGCGGATGTGCGGCAGCGAGTTGACTCCGAATTGGGCGAAGCTGTGCTGCGACTCCTGGAACTCGATGTCGCAGAAGAAGAGCTTGGCGTGGGAGGGGGACGACGGGTCCTGGTTGTTCTCGATGAAGGAGGAGGCGACGACGGCGAACTCTTTGCGGAGCTCCTTGAGGTGAAGCTCCGACTTGTCGTGGAGCTTCGCAGCATCAAAGAAGACGAGGACCCAGTAGGGTCGCGGGGTTTTAACGCCGGTTAGGAATTGGGCGAGGGAGCGGTCGTCGAGGCGGATCACCCCAGAACTGGATCGGGATTGGAGGGAGAGGAGTTCGGGGACCGGGTTGGATTCGGATAACTCGGTGAAGGCGGCGAGGAGGAGGACGACGGTGGTGAGGAGGAGGAGGGGTAGTTTCGGAATTGAACCCATTTTTGGGGGTTCAATTTTTGCAGGGAGGGTTTTGCTTTGTGGGAAGAGGAAGAAGCAGCCTCCGGAGGTAGATAGTTGATTTTCAGTCTTCGAGTGTTGCCTTTTTCGCGTGGAAGATGAGAAGGCTAGAGTATGCGACATGTCGTTTTATCCAATTGTAATTCTACTTTTCTTTTTCAATTTTTTTTCTTCCCTTTGATGGTTTAGGGAAGAAGATAATCGAACTTGGCCACTTATGACACATCCCGATCCAAATATTAAGGCGTGTTGGCCGTCACGCTTTGATTTCAGTCGGGGTGTGTCAATTTGGTATCAGAGCACAAAAAGTTTAAGTGCAGTTCAGAATAAACAATACTACACAAGCGATGATACAACTCTCTCATCTAGTCCTCTGTCACCTAAGTAGCCTCCTCGACTGAGTGATTCCTCCACAAAACCTTCACCAAGCGCACAAATAAAACAGTAAAATGCTCTTAAACACTTAAGTTATGTGTCTCTGTGTATTTTTACATATTTCGTTTAGTTGGCTCTAATCACACATAGGACGAATTGGAATCTAATTTCACTTGCTCTTGATAGTGTTTCTAAGCTAGCCGCTCATGGGCAAGTTTAAATTTTTTCGTTGTAAATTAGAATAGAATAAAATAAAATATTAAACTCAAGAGAAAGAAAAAAAGAATATCGTTAGAATTGGCGAAACGAATTAAAACATTTTATTTTTTGCTCTAAAATTCTAAATATTCAAAAAATCAAGAATTACAAAATTATTTTACTTCACCATCCTCACTTATTTGTAAGTTTGATACATGGGTATTTTAAATGGAATAAATTATTTTATTGAACAAAATAGATTTAAAATTCAATAAAAATACAATCGCCAAATACAAAAGATGGTCTACAAAAGCACATGTTAGTGCCTTAACAAAAATTGAAATTACAAAACTTTACAATAAAAAAACGTAACTTCAAACCAACAAGGCTCCTCGTTTGCTTTGTGAGGGTGGGGGGAACTTTTATCGTGCGCGACCTTAAGTTTACTTTGCAAAGAAATTGTTTTCACGACTCAATCCCGTACATTTTCACTCACAAAGAACAACATTTCCGTTGCGCATAGACTTAACCTCTAAATTACAAAACTTGGCAATATATATTTTTAAAATTACAAAACTTGGCAATATATATTTTTATTCCCATGGACTCAATGGGCACTCCACTGGCAATGTTGGGAAGCGTTCAGAATCCTTGCAATAATCATAAATCACCATATTTCTCTGTATCCAAGCGAAATCCTTCTTCTGGGCATCTGATAAGTGCCAGGCATCATACTGGTCCCACCAGTTTTTTGTTGTGGTGGAGACGCACGCAGGGAATGGGTCCTCCCATTGGCAGGCATCAACACTGAAGTCCTTGTAGGAGGACACAAACGGTGATTTCTTCCAGTCTGTCTTCTCAATCCCACCTCTGGTGGCCCATTCGTCTGCGTTCCATATGCTGGAGAATAAGTACATCGGCTTCTCATTGGGGAAGAAGTTGTTTGCTTCCCCATTGTTCTTGAACACCCTTATGGGAACTTTGTCCACAAAAAACCTATATGCAAAACAGATGTATGTATACTTAGACAGCTGAATTCTATTGATTAGACAATTTCTATTGATCTAACGGCTCAGACAATATTCGTAGGTCATATGCATTCGGTTTGCATACTTTCATGTGTTACATAGAAATTGTCGGTCATATGTGTTTGTTTGTTATATGAACATGCATCACTTGTAAATACTGTCTACACTACCAGATAGGCAGAACTCGATTAATTAAATGATTTTTACTTATCCAAAGGCACATCTATATTATAGAGATTATCTGCCACACAAATACGTATCACTATCACAAACTATCAAAACCGTTCTATCAGCAAACTTTTGTTGATCAAACGATTTACACAGCATTCGTGTGTCAAACGTGTGAGCAAGAGCAAAAGAAAGATCTATACTTACACAATCTGATGATTATTCCAGAGAATTGAGTAAGTATGATATTCCTCAGTGGGGTCGAACCAAAGCTGGTGCCTCATCTCACGGTTTCCAGTTCCATTCTTGTACACATTTGTCTGGATCAGATAAGGTTGCCCGCTCCTATTCCCCAAGAACTCAAAATCTAGCTCATCCCTTTCTGGCCCTGCTCCATTTTCGGTGCACATCTGCAAACAACAAGTACATTTTCAAGTCTCATTAGTCAGTACACATGTATCCCGTTCTTAATTCCTGTAGCGCTCATCGCGTGACATGATAAGTAAGCTGTCACAACAGAAGAAGGAGATATATTCCCCACTGTATGCGGGATTACTCACATAATAAGCTGTGACTACGCCGGCGGAGTCACCTCCGACCAACTTGATCTTCATGCTAAACCATCCAAATCTGTACTTTTGTTTCGTTTGAAATCCACAACCTGCTCAATTTTAAGAAAGAAAGCTACAGAATTACATCCATATACAATTGTGATTACAAGAAAATCTTCAAGTAAGATTGAAACATATATGGAAGAGCAAATAAATCTTTATTGACGGGACGATATTATAAACTAAGGGCAAACTTATTGTTGTAGTCAACTGGCCTAACTTGCATTTACTGTTGCTTATAATATATATTGTGTATGTTTACCTGTGTCTTTGTCGAGGGAAAGATACCAGATCTGCTTATCTTCTGAAGCTGTAAAATGGTTCTCAGACCACATTATATCGAAATTGTCCTCGAAAGAACTTTTCGGGGCAGCTGCCTCTGATGAAGAACAACAAGAAGCAGCCATGAGAGCTGCAATGTAAAGAAGAACTGGCATCGGAGGCGCCCTTCTTTCCATTTTCGGGTCAAAGAATTTGGAGCAGAGAATCTGAAGAAAGTGAGAACAATGGATGGAAGAGCTTCTTTCAGCTGGATCTCCAGGAAGACGAGGAGGAGAGGTGCATTAAATTGTCAGACTTATGAATGTGACTTAAAGAAGGCTGGGAACCAAGTCACATTTGTCTGTCTGGTATTTTTAATCATTGGATTATGACTGGATTAGGCCAGTTGGTTGATACAGCGTGCCTGTTCCTTTCATTCAAGCTTTGAGTAGTTTATGTTAATCAATATAAATCATCTTGTAAAAACATCATTTGCTTGTAGAGATATTTACAATGCTATGGAGTATCGGATATTTTGCATTTTTTAACCGTTATTTAGGGAAAGAAATCCATGAGTGAACCGCATATTTAGATGGAAAAAGAGTAAAATAACAAGGTTTAGGATTGGGGACTGAGGAAAGCCAGGCTGCCCCTCAATTGGTGTTTGGCAATTGGGCAGGGGGTGGGGTCCATGTGCTGCTTGTATGAACGTGATTGAATGTGAGTGGTCATACAATAATCGAACGTAATGGCATCTAGACAACTGGATTTGGTTGTTAAGAGAAAATGAGAAGATAAACTTTGCGAGAAGTTACCTTAAAGGTATTTCAAGTCAATGACACATGTTTCAAATTTTAACAAGGGAAACAAATTGTGTTAAGGCCGGAGTGGTATTTTAGTTGCACGGAAGTTTTTATTTTATTTAGAGAATTGTTATTAACACTCCTAAAATCTTATTTGGCACTCCAAACTTTTTATAATTAGAAAAAAAATTTACACTTGTAAGGAGTGTGGAATGAGATTTTTGAAATGCTAATAACAGTTCCCTTAGTTTTTTTTATCTTTTTATTTTTTTTAAGAATGAAGATTAAAATGAACTTAAATGGTTAAATGTGCTTTGATCAATCAAACGAACAAAAGCAGCCTATAAAGCCTATGATTTCTCCACAATTTTTGGCTTCTTTTTGCGAGGTTTCTTTTGATTTGTGTGGTAATTGCACGATTAATCATATTAAACAAAGACTTTTACTGAGATTAGTGAAGTTTAGGTCCCAAAAAGAGGTTGCTTTTTTCTTGGTTGAAAGCATGATCAATAAAGAAGATTTACTACAACAATGATAAACTATTTCTTTCTCTTTTTCCAGCAGCATAAAAAAGAATAAGTAATACTTGGAAAGAAATTCTATAAAGATAAGGAGTGTTTAGAGCAAACAGAAGACTTTGTCATTGTCGTTTTAAGATTTACACAGTCAATTTCATTTGGCGAGATAATGATTTGTTGTTGAAGTATAGAAAAAGACATGGGAAATATAAAATAACCTGTAAGAAACAAGAATAAAACAAGGCATATTCATCTCTTATCTCATAAGTCATGTGGGATGCAGCCAGATCGTGAGGAACCCAACATATGAATAATTGAGGTTGAGGAAATTTATTAATGGATTGATTGTAATATAAGGGCTACTAATAAGTGAAATGAGAAATCTTAGGAATATATATCTTGTATTTTTATCTGACTCAATACTATCTACTATTTATACAAATTTTTTTTTTTTTACTTTTCATACACTCTTTGTTATTTATGTTTTTTTATCGTTTTCAATTCATCGATTTGATGACCAAAAAAATAAGAGAAGTGTGTAGAAGTAAAAAGAGATGTGTGTGTGTGTGTGTGAATAGCACTACTCTTTTTGTATATTGATATTGTACATGAGGGATTGGGGGACTTGAGTCAAGTTATATAATATGTCAACTTTAATAATTCGGTGTCAAACTCGTCGTTTAAGTTGAATCGACAACCTCTCACTTATGTGAAAATAAAATATCACTAGAAAGTAATTCCAATGTCAAATTCAAACTCTATTTTAGCTTGAAATACAAAATAAGCGAATTTGCAGTAAATCTTAAAAATTAAATTTATATACATATGTTAGTTAAGCTAGTTAATCAAAATAGCGTGTTCATCCTCTTGATAGTAATTTCGATTGAGTGTATTATGCATAGAGTGTATTATGCAGTTTCTGAACTCCGATTGATAGTAATTTCGATATTTTATCTGAATTTGTTGAATTAACAGGCGAGAAGAAGCTATCGAAGGTTATAGTGCCGGACAAGTGGAAGGAAGGTGCCAGTAACACCACCGAAGGCGGTGGCCGGAAAATGAACGAGAACAAGCTCCTCTCCAAGAAGAAAAGGTCGGTCCGCTTTCTTATATTTTTATTTTGCTTTTATTTCTGTGTATATATGTCTGAATTTCAAATTTCTTGTTTAAATTGGATTTAGCTAGTTCAGATCAGGGATTTGGATTTGAAAATTTTGGTGCCATCCTTTTAATTTAAAGGAAAACTAACGAAAAATATAAAAAAAATACTTTAATTTTAATAAAAATGACAAATAAAGGTGTAATGAATAGTATCAAAAAAATTTAAAATATGATTTTTCGTTAAACGTGAACAGTACCAGAAGTGTTTCGATAATACTCTCTTTATTTAACAGACCGAATGAACAATAAACAGTATGTCTCGTGGTTTTGGGAAATCGAGAGGTTGCGAATTGTGAAGAGGACTTGTGTAGGGTATTGCAGAGACTAGAAAGGCACAAGTTTCGTATAGGTTTCGATATAGTCTTCTCCACTATCTGTTATATCTTTGATCAGTTGAAGATGATGCGCAAAATGGATTCATGATTTGTGTATACAATAATTGCTTAAGTACCCCATTGCCGTTTCTTGAGTTTTCTGTGATACAAGTTATGTCGTTGATCAGTTCCACGAGGTTGCACAAAACGCTTTCATGATTCATGTGTACAATACTGATTTGACTACCCCGTTTCTGTTTCTTGAGTTCTTTTTATGCAGTTTGTTTGTGTGGATGTGTCACATGGGATCGTCTGCAAATTTTGTGACATGAGTTTCATTCATTTGCGTGTAGGTGGACTCCTTACGGAACTACCAAGGGCTTCATTTGCAAGCAGCAAGTACACCAGGATGGCAAATACTGTCACACTTGTGCGTACTCCAAAGGTAGTGTCTCTATGTGGCGATCTAACTGGTTTTGTAGGTTTGTTATTGCAGGAAAGTCTGATGTGTGCGTGCGATGTTATGCAGGAGTTAGTGCGATGCGCGGGAAGCAAGTACTTGACACCAAGCTTTACAAACAAAGTAATGTATAAGGCAAGTCAGATGTTTGGTTGACAGTCTATTTGGTGCGATGACTCGTAGAAAACTTGTTGATCTCATATAATTGGTACTCGTTCCGATACCCCTGGTCATCAAGCGAGAGCATTTACTTAATTGTAATTTTCAAAGGGAATTGTTATTAGCACTCCAAACTTTCTATAATTAGAAAGAAAAATATACTTGTGAGGAGCGTAGAATGAGATTTTTGGAGTGCTAATAACAGTTCTCTTTTCAAAAATGATAGATGTAACTAAATTACTTGACGACTATCGTCTGATACACGAAGATTTCTTTTGAACGTAGGTAGTAAATTTACAGGACAAGGAGTAAATATTTTGGATACACATGAAACAACCAGCTGACCACCTTGTTTATTGACTAGTTGAGTATGTAGAGGTCCAATACTTCTCAATTTCTTCTGCTGTTCTCCCCGGAATCCTCCCGGCAATCAAAGCCCACCTGCCGGAAAATTGTTAAAACATACAGTTCGATCGAGATAATTACAAGTCGAAGAATAAAACGGACCAACCTCTCCCCTACTAGATTGTACATTCTTATGATAAGGGCTTCCTCATCCTGGGAGAATTGAAGCTCAGATTTTTCTGTGCTTTTCTCTGAAATAAACAACTCATGATCAATGAGAAGAATTAATACACAAACTTATTTTGCTTTTGGTTTCGGATGAGGACATATTTGATAACCATTTCGTTTTTAGTTTCCAATTTTCATTTATTTCTTTGTAAATATAGAGGGCATGTTTTGATGATGGTCATTCCTCCAGTTTTGCAGCAAATCTAGAAATACGAATATGAGGTAAAGAGTAAGCTAGAAATCTTTTAAAATATAAGTTTAAGGCGAAGAACAGTTGATAGAATAAGAAGAGGAGGTGAAGATTGCATTGTAATAAGAGCGATGAAGAGAAAAAAGAGGCCCGGCCCGATACAGAAAAAAGTTTGGATTGAGAACACACTTGAATTTTAAAGGTATTAGACTGATATGCAGCATCAACATCTGTAATAGCAATAAGAAGAAAAAAAAAGGCAGGATGTGCTAGGGACCCCCTTAGTGGCTCCGTCATCGGATTTGCTCATCCTTCCCTTCTTAATATGTTATCCACTCCAAAATTGCAAATTGTCAAAAAAATGTAACTAAAAACCAAAACCGAAATAGTTATCAAACTGGCCTTGAGATTTTAATGCATGGTTATAGCCATGAAATCATCTCCAAGCCAGTGTCAAAAGACCCTTACAGCATTGTTGTAAGGCTAACCGCTACCAAAACAAAAGAGGCTGCAAAAGGAAGAAACACACGTAGATGGAACAAACCGAAAGAAAAGCAGTACCTCGAGAGTCCGAGTGTGTGTCATCCGAAGAAGAGTGCTCGGAGTCCGCCATTTCGCGTATTTCTTGACGAGAATTAAGTCACGGAAGAGCCAATAGAATAGGGTGCTATCCATCTCAAACATTTATTTTGGGATATATGTTCGAGAGTTGAAAGCAACAATAACTATGAACGGTTCTAAAGAAGCAAAGAATGGTAGTTGAATCTAGGCATGTCAATGAACAGGAAATCCCAAACTCTGTCGCCACTAAAATTATACTGACACGACTCCATTCAATAATCCGTCAATTTACGACAAAATCCATATCGAAATAGTTATCTTATCGGATGTCAAGTTCAAGTAGCTACTGAACGAATTCAGATCAAAATCTGATCCATTGAGACACTAAGTTGAATGGAAGTTGGGATGTATATGAGTTTGATCGGTAGCTGAATTGGATGCCGGAGGGAGATTAACTTGATGCCACACAGCTTTATATGTGTCTGTATATACATCCGTACAGTGTCGTCCTGTGCGTTTGTTGTGACCGCAGAATAAAAAGGTGCCTAATTTAGGAGGGGCCCCTGAAAAATGCAGACATGAAAAACTGGGTTTTTGAGTTCAAATCGATTAAAAAAGAGCCTTTTATTTTCGTTTGGTTGTTGTTTGGAGGTTAGTAGGGTGTAATATGTATGTCGCAATCAACAAGTAACGTGATAAAAGAAACTAAAAACGTGTGACACCGACATCTACCAACATTTGTTCGTATGAATAACATCTACCTTCAAAATACCTTGAGTAAACGGATTATCCATTGAAATCCGAACTTAAAGACCAACCGAGGCCTTAGTTCCGCCACATGAGGATGCGTAAGGAATGGATCCGTCTTTGAACCGTAACCATTTAGCCCTGTTAGGCCATATGAATGTGGTGGAAACTAACTTCGGATTAGTATGTCCAATACTTTCGTACAAAAGATAAAATTCAATCGCTAAAAATGGTTTCCGAGATATAAACGGGAGGTCTAAAGCGATTTTGTAACAAAACCACGCGGTTAGCCCTAAATGGATAGACGTTTACAGAAGGTCCAAAGCCAGTTAACTTATTTGGGTTTTTCCAACTCGACTAAGAGAGTCGCGAGCGGATGCACCAGGATAGCGAAATTCAAACGTGGATGTCAATATTCAAACGTGGACAAGTACTGAAAATATACATCAGGTGACGGTGAAATTCATCGGCAGCCTATAGTGGCTGCAGATATGAGGGGCAAATTAGCATACATTGGACACGGCACGTCTCCTCTTTCCACACAACTGGTGTAACTCGTGTTTTCAATAGACTCAACAGCATCTCTTCTTTTGGGTGTCAAAGTCTTAGGTTTTCGGCTAAATGTTGGATGCTAGAGTGACGCTTGCCATAGTTGAGTCGGACACCTTCACTCCGATATATCAATTTCCCTCTCCGTTGCCGGAAAACTGATTGGGGTAAATATCAATTTCCCTCTCCGTGCCGGAAAACTGATTGGGGTAAATGCCGGACGCTAGAGTGAGCTCACCGGAAAATCTGAAACCACAATCGAAACCACAGATTGAGGCACACCTTGAAATGCCAGTCTTGTACCAAAGGTCCAGTTCAAGGATGGCAACCGCACCACACAATCAACATTAAACAGACGATTGAAAGCAAACCATTCACAAACACAACACCATGCAAACAAACAAATTAAACCAAGAGATTCACAACAAATTTCAAACACGAAGTTTTTAACCAGAACGGAATTTATTTATCAAAACATAGTAAAAGATAAACCAAACTTGTCCATATGCCTCAATCAGGAGGCAGAAACAGTACCATCAAACTTAAATACATAAAAACAGTAAAAACATAAACAATTCAACGAAAACGGGTAGAAGACGGCCACCGGCCACATCCAGCACTTAAAAACCACCACGGAGACGGAGGACAAGGTGAAGGGTGGACTCCTTCTGAATGTTGTAATCAGCCAGGGTCCTTCCATCCTCCAACTGCTTTCCAGCGAAAATCAACCTCTGCTGGTCCGGAGGGATGCCTTCCTTGTCCTGGATCTTTGCCTTCACATTGTCGATGGTGTCAGAGCTCTCCACCTCCAAGGTGATGGTCTTTCCTGTCAAGGTCTTCACGAAGATCTGCATACCACCCCTCAGACGCAGCACCAAGTGAAGGGTTGACTCCTTCTGGATGTTGTAGTCCGCCAGAGTGCGGCCATCCTCGAGCTGCTTCCCAGCAAAGATCAGCCTCTGCTGGTCCGGTGGGATTCCCTCCTTGTCCTGGATCTTGGCCTTGACATTGTCAATGGTGTCCGAACTCTCCACCTCCAGGGTGATGGTCTTTCCTGTCAGGGTCTTGACAAAAATCTGCATGCCACCACGGAGACGCAAAACCAAATGGAGAGTGGACTCCTTCTGGATGTTGTAGTCGGCAAGGGTGCGGCCGTCCTCAAGCTGCTTTCCAGCAAAGATAAGCCTCTGCTGGTCTGGTGGGATGCCCTCCTTATCTTGAATCTTAGCCTTCACGTTGTCAATGGTGTCGGAGCTCTCGACCTCAAGGGTGATGGTCTTCCCGGTAAGGGTCTTGACGAAGATTTGCATACCACCACGGAGTCGGAGAACCAAGTGAAGGGTAGACTCCTTCTGGATGTTGTAGTCGGCAAGGGTCCTGCCATCCTCAAGCTGTTTTCCAGCAAAGATCAACCTCTGCTGGTCTGGGGGAATGCCCTCCTTGTCTTGGATTTTGGCCTTGACATTGTCAATGGTATCGGATGACTCCACCTCAAGGGTGATGGTCTTGCCGGTGAGGGTCTTAACGAAGATCTGCATGCCACCACGAAGACGGAGCACCAAGTGGAGGGTTGACTCTTTCTGGATGTTGTAATCCGCAAGGGTACGGCCATCTTCGAGCTGCTTTCCAGCGAAGATCAGACGCTGCTGGTCTGGGGGAATCCCTTCCTTGTCTTGGATCTTGGCCTTGACGTTGTCGATGGTGTCAGATGACTCCACCTCGAGGGTGATGGTCTTGCCGGTGAGGGTCTTAACAAAGATCTGCATTCCACCGCGAAGACGGAGCACCAAGTGGAGGGTTGACTCCTTTTGGATGTTGTAGTCTGCAAGGGTTCGGCCATCTTCGAGCTGCTTTCCAGCGAAGATCAGACGCTGCTGGTCCGGGGGGATCCCTTCCTTGTCCTGGATCTTGGCCTTGACGTTGTCGATGGTGTCAGATGACTCCACCTCGAGGGTGATGGTCTTGCCGGTAAGAGTTTTCACGAAGATTTGCATCTACAGAAACCAAAATACCATAAGATTAAGCATAAAAAAACAAATCCCTTTAGATTAAAATTAAGAATTACAGATAAGAAAATCAGATTAAAAAAAAAAAAAAAAACCCCTAATTTGGAAACTAATGCATCAGAAATCAAAGAAATTCAAGAAAATCCCAATTTTTATATAAACAAAATATTAACAGCCATTTATATACAATAAATCAATTCAAGATCAAGATTGCAAATTGAATTTCAGCAAATCAGGTAAAGGAAAAAAAAACCCTGCTTTAGCTTTAAATCACAGATCAAAGACACAATTTTAGTCTAAAATTACTCAATTTTGGAATAAAAATAAATAGCAAAATTAAATTGACCATTAACAAATCTCAATTTCGATATCGGATACAGAATAAAACCTACTTGTCAAAATTGATACAAAGAAATTTACTTTCAATTCGAAAAGACATGCTGATCATTTAGATAAAATACACAAAACCCCTAATTCGTGAAAATTGAACACAAGATTCGACGCAAATTTTCTTTCCAAGTTACTAATTTCGCATCCAATAAATAAAAAAACCCTAACATCAAAAGCCAAAACAATGCTAAATTTAACAGATCCAACCGATTAATCATAAATCTCAAACATCAACCAAATCAAATACAGAATCTCCAATTTTCCTACACTTTCCTAGCAACCAAACAAGAAATTAACAAGAAACAAGAAAAAAAGAACACACCTTGAAAGGCTGAGGGAGCTTCGAGAGAGATTTAGAGGAGGATTTTTCAGATTGTTGAGAAGCAAAACAATCGCAATTGTGAGGAAGGGGAGAGGCTGATGCCTGGATTTATAGCGTTAGAGAAGGCGACTTCGTCACGGAATTGTAGTTGGCGTGACGAGGAGGTCCACTTATTTAGCGACACGTGGATGGAATGACGTGCCGATGGCGCGGGTTAAACGGCAAAGCCTGGTATCTAGTCCCCTTCTTTGATAATATCAAAGTCCGTGATCTCAAATGACTTCCTCCTTCACGGGGCCCTTACGGCGTTATCTTCGAGATTGAGTATGAGAAGTAGTACTTCAAAAATCTTATTATACATTTATAAGTAGAGTAAAATGAGATTTTTGGAGTGCCAATAACAATTTCCTTGATTATTTATACTTTTCTGTCCACTTGCCCTTCGAATTATTACGATCACTAATCACCAATAATTCGTATTAGGCCATCTAACCTATTGTGCGCACTAAATACTTGACGAAATGCTCCGATGACAAGTTCTACCATTCTTAATATTACTGTAAATTCTATATAGCCATATTTGACTCTACATATAATAGTAGTTATTGACATATATTGGCATAAGCCTTTAAGAAATGTTGTAAAAAATCGACATGTAGAACAAGTGCTCGACGAAATATCTAATAAAATTTTTTTATCGAAAACATGACTCAATTATTTGAAAATCCTGACTCCTCGACTTCTTTCGCGCCAGTTACAACTTTCATTTATATTAGTTTAAAAGGTTGTGCACCATTTCATGTTGTTTATAAGTGTTGAAACTTCATTTGCATTGTATTTCTAATATAAATACTATCATGATTAAGAATTTAAGATAAACAAATTTGTATTTTATTTTTTATAGCAATTGAATATGATGTATGCGTGTATTGCAAGGACCTTCGATTAATCAGAGCAAAATTTAGTATTAGGTATTAAACAAGATTAGCCATTGAGGTGGTGCCAAAAGAAGGAAAGGGATCATCTCTGGATCCATTCCTTCCAGTCTATCAAATCTGGAGATCCAGACCATTGAAATTTAATCAAACGGTTAAAGTTATTATAATTTTTAAAGTGGGCCACTGTTTGTAGCCGTTTGATCAAATTTCAATGGTCCGAATCTCCGAACTTGTTAGATTAGAAGGAAGGGATCGGAGAGAATCCCTTTCCCCAAAAAAGACATAGTATTGTATTCCAAGTGGGGTGGGTGGCTCTTATTTTATGAAAGTGGGCAATAATTATGTTGGGTTGGGACCAACTTTGTTGGATGCATCCAATGCATTTCCTTTTGGTCAAGAGATATTTTAAGAGCAAGTCTGTGTGCCGGTTTCGACACTGTTGCTTGTGAGAAGTATTTTCTCACTGGTTTCCATTTTTTTGGTGGCTGCGGATTTGAACTTTGAGGTGCTTGGTGGAGGATGCTGGAGTCTTTCTTAAAACGATTCTGGGGCTTTGCTTGGTTGGATCCTTTGTTGGGACCAACCATGGGACGATATTGGATGTATCCAATGCATTTCCTTTTGGTCAGGAGATACTTGGAAATTGACCTTCAACCTCAAAGTGTATCTTGAAGAGAACAATTGATGCATGCGAAAGTGGCTCAAATGCGCGAGCAATTTACGTCCTGCCTTGCGCCAACGGGCAAAGCTACGTCAGTCTTATTCTCATTTTTTTTTATTTGTGTATGCCTTATGTAATAGATTCACGTGCGTTGGTTGGTCCTAAACATATTTCTCACCATTAAGCATGAAAATCAAATTGCTTGATTTAGATTCTAATTTCATCCTCGCTCAGTTGATTATCTTGATTTTATTTAGTAGTTGATTAATGATTTTCAGTCATCCTTGTTTAGAAAAAAAAAATGTGATTAATTCACTGTTCTAACATGCAATCAAGATAGTTATTGATTCTACGTTTTCTTTGTCCCTCTTCTAACAAGAAAAAAAATGTGAATAATTCACTGTTACTTTCAAGGCTCAAGTTAGGTAGCAACTTGGAAAAGAAGGGTTTAGAAAAATCACACTTATATAATCACATCACTAATTATTCCAAATTAAAAAATAATAATTAAAAATCATGCTAACAAAATGAAAAATGTTGTAGCTCAATAGCTTAATCTACGATCCACCGGTTACGCTACCATTAAAAATCTCTATAGTATCACCCTGCGCAACCTGATGCCATCGAAACGACCTGTCGTCCTCCATCACATTCTGCTTATAGATGAAGAAATAGCTCTCCTGCGGCAAATGAAAATTCATTTGACTTTGGTGCAACCTCTGCAGCTCCTTCCTCAGTTCTCCTACATTATCCAATGGGTTCACGTCCACCGCAATCTTCTTCGTCCCACACTTTGTCAAGACCATAAGCTTCAGCTTATTTTTGGACCCCATTCCACATCCGCCACCAACTCCAGCCCCACCCATTGACACAGGTGAGGTTGCAGGAGCTGAAGGTCTCAAGCTCACCTCTATCTCCGCATTGTCTGAAAGCTCGCATTCATGCAACGAGCGATGATCATGTAACTCATTCCCAACTGCATGAAGCACCAAACGATTAAGTGGAATGGATTGATCCATCGCTTGGATTTTCTCTTTTAGCTTCGAGACAGTGTCGTTTACATCCATTTCAATAGGGACATGCATTTTGGACGTTGGGGTCTTCACGTTGAGCTGGATTTTCTTCGGGCAGTACTCCTCCATAGCCTTCACATTGTTATTACAATTGCTATTGTTCGCCGGTTTATCGAATTCAGATGCGATGAGGAGTTGGACGCGGGAATTGTTGTAGATGTCGCAGTATTCAACGTTGCGTTCATCATCAAGGACTCGGCCATTGAAGATTAAGGTTTGGTGGGAAATGGGAATCCCTTGGTATTTCTGAACCTTCTCTTTGATCTCGAGAACGGTGTCGAAATAACCAACTTCAATTGTGAAGGATCTCCCTCTCTGGAGCTCAAAAATAACATCCATGGCCAGGAATCAGAATTCAGCAAGGGTTTTGGATATATATAAATATATATGTTTATATATATACATATATGTTTATATATTTGTGTATGTGTGTATATATATGTGTGTAATTTGTGCATGTATAAAGATTACGATATAAATGTGTTGTAACTGCGTCCGATTTGCATGTTGTGAAATCTGAAAGGGGTTCAAATTTTCTGGATTAATGAGAAAGAGTCAAAGATTGTTATCCATTTACTATGTGATCTTCACGGATTTTCAGGTTTTAATGTTTCAATTTTCAAATGTTTGTGGGTATCTGTTACAAGGATCTCGATCTTGAGCATCGGATTAGAATTAAATCCAAAAAATTAGTTCTGATTAGATTCGCTTTGAAAATTATTCAGCGGCGCCGTTCGATAACTATTTCGATTTTTCCTTTTCTTTTAAATTAAAATTCATTTAGTAACTACTTTTGATTTTTTATTTTTTTTTTAAGTAATAACGAAATCCAAAATTTAAACTGAAAGGTTCATAAAAACGATTGTCCAAGATTGCTTGCTAGATTGCATTAGATGAATGAGAAACTTTCTCCGACTTTATGACCAGGCTTTTTACTTTTACAACGGAAGTGTTATTGACACTCCAAAAATCTCATTCTACATTCCTCCCAAGTGTATTTTTCTTTCTAAATATAGAAAGTTTGGAACGTAGAATAAAAATTTTATAATACCAATAACAATTCTCATTTACAATGCTCAATTACATGGATTCATCCAATGAAAGATCTGAGTGACGTCTTTTCCATTAGTATCCTTACATAATCAGGACCCTGTTTGTCTCATTTCGTTGGATAAGAATATGGAAATTGACTGGTCTGGACCCAAGTATTTTTCTCGGAAACTAAATTAAGAACGTGTTTAAAAAATAAATAAAATGAACACATCAAAGCCGAATCTTTTACTAGTTCTTGTGAGAATGTGGGGCAGAAGCCCAAAAGGAAACAACTAAACGACCCTAGAACCAGTCCTGACCGTGACATTCATACGTGGCGGTTTAACCATCACACTAAAAGAAAATATTTCTAGCCTCATAAAAGATGAGGGTAAGAAAAGCTCAGTATGCTCGAATTTAAAGAGCTGAGAAAAGATTGTAAGTACATGGCTGTCAAGTACACACAAGAGTTTCAGGAGTCTTGAGCAGCATACAGCTGAACATGTCGCGGCCAAACTTGACCGTAAACATCTTTCTTGTTATACCGCCGGTCCCAAGACCAAGGCACATCTGCCGGAGAGATAAAAAGAAATAAGACGAATGAAAGATGGGAACGGAAAAGGAAGTAAATTTAAGAACGGCCTACCTTCCGCGGTGTATGGCTGAGGAGGGAGTTCATAAGGCACGGGCAATTTAATTACTTCAGATGATGAATCTGTATTCCTGTTTCCTTGCCAGTTCAGAGTCACGAGTGTTGTTCTCGATGCTTCAGAAGTTTCTGACCGTCCAGATTTATCCTGAAACTCAACTGAATTAATATCTTTCTGCTCCATTTATGTTCCCTTCCTTCCTTTCTTAACAACGCAAGTGTGATACTCAATAACTATTTATGTAACATGCGTAAAATGGCCAGGATGTAGCTATTACCTTAGATGGAACCCCATTGCTCGTACAAGAAAACCCAAAACTGCATGTTTTACGTGGTAGAAATAGAATTCCCAGCTGTAATGAGCCACACAAAGTAAATAAATATACATCAGAAAAGCTTTGACAGGAGTAGATGATGAAGCAAACTATATAGAGAAAAATATAAAATGACACATATCATTCAACATATCGACACCCATTAGGTCCTTGTATGATTAGACCGGTTGTAACTTGCATTTGAAAAGTTGACAAATTTCTTGTTGGATGCACATCTCAAGTAAGCTAAGCAATACTGTATTAACTGAGCAAATGAAAGGAATCGTTTTCACTTGTATTGATATCAAGTCTGTGTTGAAGATGATATGATTCAGACAAACCTACCTCATAAGAACGGATCATCAACTGTGAGTTGTTCTTCTGGAGAGCGCCCCAGGCAGCCTTGCTAAGATTTGCTGAAGTTAGCAAAAACCAACTGTAGGGAAAATGTAGAAACTCACAGTTAGTGCTCAAATCTAGTATGACTATGGGTACACTACTAAATATTTTTAAACATAAAACTGAGAAAACACAATCAATAGGATCCAAATTCCAAAATCTTACGCAAGTTTCTGACCATTATAACGCACAAATGTTTTTATATGTGGCATTGCACGACTGAAATGAAAAGGCACAACTGTAAATCAATTTATAGGTTAATGGTAAATTGAAAAATAAAGAAGTAATAAGTTTGTCCAACTAAACATCTCAGAGTCAAAGATTTCAATGGAAAGGTAGGAGAAAGAGACCAGCGGCCGGTATGGCTTGCCTTCCATTTAGCCCAGTACTTTTTCAAGAAGTCTTTCTCCACATTCTTTAGTGGACTTGGAATGGCATTTCCAGCTGCATAGCCCTGGAAAAACCAATAAAAGAACAGCAAATGAAACCAGGATGCAGAATCACAATGTACACCCAAAGACCACATGATAGACGGGATGATTCTATTGCTATACGCTAACGCTCAATTACTACTTTTAAGGAATCTCGTCTAAGTATACCCAACTTTTCAACTGTTTTGAGGTAATTTTCATGATATATAACCCTGACCACTACATGAGATCTATCGAGGTTTATCCACACAAGGTCTTTTGACTTTAATAGTAAAACAAGGTCTACAGGAAATAGTTCACAAGAATGGCCTACTTGATAGTACCTCTAAAGAGAATCTGACATCTTCTACTGTAGGCCATATTATGAGTGGCTCCCCAGGACCGAGAGGAGTTCTATCTTCCGATAAGCCTGATGACATTGAAGACATAAACTCAGCCATCCACTTCTCGTCCAAAGAACCCAGGGAGGAGAACTGCAAAGGTAAGGATACATAAATAGAATTTCTTTGAAACTATCACTATTTCTAATAATTACACTCCACTGAGCGAAGCATTCATGACCACAAACTTTACCCCTTGAATCACAATTCCGTTCTATATATCTTCGTTTTATAAACCAAACAAAATTCCTATGGCCAGAATCCCCAATACGGAGAAATCAAATGTAATAAATATATGCCCACTAGGTCCAGAATCTTGTAAATTTGCAATAAACATATTGCTGAATTACTACAACTAATCAAAGAAAAACATTCAGCATTGACATCCATCATCATAACTGCCGGTAAAAGAGTCAAGCAGTTGTGTCACCGTACCTGATAAGCAAGAGGAGATTTCCGAAACTCTTTATCAAAAATACACTCCTGAAGAACAGTGCGAAGCTTCATATGCCCCCACTTTTTCATGTTGTTACCCGTATGATATCCAGGGACAGATGCAATTAGCCTCACCTGAAATTTACACACAGCCGCAGATACTAACATTGACATTATACTATCCCAGACAAAACAAAAATCTAAATATTTCAAGGAATAGAGAACATACTGCTGCATCACTGTAATCAAACTTCTTGAAAAATGACGGATTGATCTTGAAGCTATCCAGATTAGGAAAATTAACTGAAAACTCAGGCCACTGCTGACATCCAACCAATAACATCAATTTCATAGTCTCATTGGCACTATAGGCAAGACATCTTGAAGCTAGATATACAAGATAATGAAGGAAGCAAACCAAAACGATAAATAAATACATAAAACCAACCAAATCAACCTCAAGGATTGTTGTATTTATACCTTCAGTGCACTGAGATAATCAATTAAGTCACTTTCGAATCCACATCCTTTGCTTGGATTATTTTGATCTTTCCAGGGAAAGTCTTGCATCCACAAACCTTGGCTTTTGTTGTTCCAGTCAACATGTATATAGTTTGCTGTATGTACAATGATTCTCACTCCTCGAGGATAAACAAGAATCATGGCCTTTGAATGGTGTGTACCAAATGAAATGGGCAATGGCGGTTTGTGTAGAATCCAGTTCGCAGGCTTCTTTCTCTGAAAATTTCAGGTAATAGCTTAAAGTCATGTAAATGGGAAAAGGTCAAAAAGCATTACGTTGACAGAGATAAGAAGAATAGACCCAAAGCAAACCTTCATGTAATCCAGTGTACCATCACCCTCACCATGAATAACCAACACATGTGGAACCTTGGCAATTGATGGGCATGCTAAAATGAGGAGGGAAAAAAACACAATCAGAGCCAATTAGGATAGCTTATGCATAACACAACAATAATATACCATTAACCAGATTCAGAATATACACATAGTAACCGTAAAAACTGTAACAAAAGAACATTGGGGTAAGAAACACCTTTCAAACATGAAAGGCATGTTCTGCTGTAGATATATTTGAGACATTCTTACACATATATACATTTGTGAAGTATTAAGTAACATACATGTTTGGTATATATATGGAAAAGGACCAATATTTTAACAGGAAACACAATCAAAGTGAAATGAACATACCAGGGATCAACCAATTGATGTCTACCATGTAATTGGAAAGGATAGCAACGAGAATGTCCCCCTATGAAAGAAGAAGGCAATAATTAAACTCCCATCCAAAATCAAACATTCATAAGACAGTCAATCTCTTCCAGAATTTTGCATGCTGAATATGAACTTCCGCTGCGCATACCTTATAACGTATTACACAGCTTTGCAACATGATTCATGCATGTAACATGCAACATGAACTATACAGCAGGGGACAACCGTTACCTGAATCAAATCCCTTATAGAAACACAAGAGGTATTTGCCCATGGGGGAAGTCCTTGCACATTCAAAAGCCGAAAGGTCTGTGGTAATTGATCATTAGGAACACAAAAATGGCGTATGGCCTCCACACTGCCACCGTCTCTATCAGCCCCCGAGCTGCTTCCTTCCACCTCAGCCTTCAAATTGAAGAAAGACATGCATTTTATTCACATCTTAAAATCACATTTTCGACTATCATCAACAACTATTTACTTCAAACTACTTCATTTCAAAAGAGCGACACCTTCAAACTCCTTTCGGAACCTTTATCTTGAGACACTAGTTGACGTGGCCTCTTTCGAGCCAATTCTTCAACTTCACCGGCCTTTCCACCATCATTTGATCCCCTCTTATGGTCACAGACAACACGCACATTATTTCCATTTTCATTATCAGACAATGTCTTATACTCGAAAAGAAAATGCCCCGGAATCAGCTCTATAACATCACCATTGCATATCGTTGCATTTTCTTTCGGAAACAATTTCTTCCTGTTACTCCCGGATTTCACAACAGTGGGATTTGTCCCCTCCTACAATTTACATTCATTCAATTCAAAGTTCACAACTTTATATTTCAATATATAAACCAGTAACTAGTAAGGCCATCAAAGTTCAAAAAGTGGACTCATTCGAGGTTTAAATTACGAAATTACCACGACCAAAACGGCGGAATCACTAGCATCGATAGTGAGAGCGAGGTGCTTCCGGCTGAGTCGTTTGTCTGAGAGGGAAGCGGTGGTGTTGCGGCCGATGTAATTCGGGCCTCGGGAGAGGGGTATTTTTGGGAGTGAAGCGTCTTCTTCTAGCTTGGCATTGAGAGGAACCAAATATCCCATCTACACAGCAGCACAGAACAAACATCAGTAAGAAAAAAAAAGATTGGAAATTGAGAAGTGGGAATTGGAGAGGGGCAAAAGGGGAAGAAAGGTACCAGGACGGTGAGCCATTGGGGAATGTATGGGTGCATGAGAAGTGGGAAAAGCTTCGAGCTTTTGAGGGGAAGAGTTTCTGACTCGGTGGGGAAGAAGGACTCTGAGGAGCAGGAGGGGACTGTCGGCAGATTTGGAGGCAGCTTACGGCAGTTTTCCGTTGAGGGATTTGATCACATGACTGATGAGTTCTATTTGGGCTCTTTATTTAACTTTTTTTTTTTTTTTTTTTTGTTAAATCAAAAAGGAGGACAATAGTGGTATGTCATGGTTATCCACCCATTTCGGAGGTTAGGAGAACTCATAAAGACATTTTAACCTTCCTCTGACTACAAGTCTGGCATACCAAGATTAATTGTTTACACACCAGATCATGCATTCGTGTGGATTTTGAGCCACTTAGACCTTTGATCTAGTTCTTATACAAAAGGTGTTATCGACACATTTATTTATACAAAAAGTATTATCGACACACTTATTTTTACCTTCCACACAAATATGATAGTTTTTGATAATTTATCTTCTTCAATTCGTTCAATCCGACAATAAAAAAATTAAGAAAAATGTGTAGGTAGTACTACCCTTCTTATAGTTGTGCACTTATGTCAAATTGTAATTTGTCTGCAAAACCGCAAGCGACAATTGACAAACAGAGTGCACTTTGAGAGAAGCTATTTGTTACTTCCTTAAACTTTTGAAATTTGTCTCACCCTATATTTGATTGTCAATTTGAGTATCCATGAAGAAAGGATTTTACAGAATTTCAGTAACTCTTACAATGACCATCAAATGGAATTTAGAAGGTAAAAGTGCTTTTGCCTCAAAGTCTCATATACACAAATTAATCCATATAACTTATAACTTCGTGTATTAAAAGTCACAAAATACAATTTGCTAAGGTTGCGATTTGCAAGTAACAATCTTAATATTCCGCCTCCTCCGCCGCTCAGCTATTTCAACAAAAATATAGGTCGACTCCTTCGTGCCTTGGTCTAATTATCTTGCCAGTATTTTGAGAACATAAGGTAGCATTGGCGACAAAATTTGCTATCTTCTCCGCTTGGATTCTTTGCGCATATCCGCAAGGTAGCTCTCCAAGTTTGCCTTCTCCCATAAACGTTTATGAATAAGATCTTCCTTTCTTGATTCATCTGACAAAACAAACCAATGAGTAATATGTTATGAAGAACCTCCGGGATGTAGGTGTGTAAGAAAGCATGTAGACTCTCGAACTCACAATTCAAAACGGTAATTAATTTAATAGTTTTCCATTATGGGACTTGTTTATCCCCTTGAGCTTGAGGATCGGAAACAGTTTTTCTAAGGTTGTCGCGTCTTGAATGGAAGATTTTGTGTAGCCAAAAGTTCATGGTGGATGGCTAAAGCAAAACAAGGTTGGTTCTCGTATGAATGGGTGGTGACCTAATGTATCTAAAGTTGGTAACCCGAGCCAAATTCATAATGCCGTTAGAAGAAAAGAACAAAAAAATCATTAAAATTTAAAGTTGATTTACCTAGATTTCTCCATCCATCAATAGGCGCACCAAGGGATCTCCGTGTCAGGTAGGAGGCATCATCCCATGTATATGGTGCTTTTTTCACCTTGTATCTCCAGAACCAACAGCCACACCATAACAATAGCTGAATCAACAGACTAATTGGTAATCCATGTAATAATCAATGTAAAATCCCCGACTTCAACCTATAATCTCAGCATTTCTTGAATGACATGAAGGGAACTCTAACCTTGCCAATAGTGTAGGGAAGAAGTATGAAACGAACACCAAGAAGATCCCACATGGAGGGTTGTTCCGCTCCGTTAATCTGCAGCTCCAGTTCGCTGCCGAGATCTTCTTCCACTTTCCTATGAAGAAAAAAACATCCACCTTTTTTAAAGACAATTTCACAATCATAAAATGCAGTTCTATACACAATTGATTAATCCTTATGGACAAATTTCCAACTTTTCACAACGCATTTCATTATTTCTCTTTGAAAATGACTAGAAGTTCATACTTGTTCATCTGCCTGTTGCTCTTTTTCTTATTTGTAGTCCCTCCACTACGCTCAAGTTCCAAAGCCCGTAGTCTATTTTTGTAAGCAGGAGTCTTTTTAACCATATCTACAGCCTACAAAAGCATGGAAAATCAACAATGTCACAGAAAAGAACCTTTTCCAGGTTTCTGAGTCATAAAACAAATGATGTGTATGACTAAGTTCTGTATGAATCCACCAGAGTACGCACGTAACCTCATCGTAGTACAAACCTTTACCATTGCAATTTCTATACTATAGTCTCAAAGTACAAGAACGAAAGACTAATAAAAGTATAAAACCTATATTTGGGAGTGAAATTAACTGTCAGCACACGAGTAACAAAGGCATGCGGTGCAAGTTTTTTAAAAAATACACTGATATCCACAAATCAAACAATAACGCATTGAGACACATATAATGTCTTGTAGGAATTTTATTGATTTGCAACAGTACCTGATTATACCTTGTCCACTGATTCAGATACTGAAATGCAGAAAGAATCAAAAGAAGGCCAACCAGGACAGCGCGAGGATCCTAGAAGGTGAACATATAAACAACTTTAGAAATAAGTAAATGGAATTGGAGCTGCACCTAGCAACTACAAAGTTGCTTCTGCGCAGGCAGAATATGAAGTTATAATAAGTCTCTCACCGTTTTGTGACCATAATATGCTTGATAGTAGCGAGCAGTATTGTAAAATACCTAACAAGTAAAAAACATGATAAAAGTTATTACCTTTCACAAACATCTCAGTTCAAAGAACTCAAATTACCAATCTAAATTTAACCATACAGCACCATACTAACAAGAATGTTCTTGTTTCGTGTAGTCTCGATTCTCAAGTCTAAAAAAAATCCACTTTTCAGCCTATAACTCAACGCATTGATAACTAAGTAGTTTGTTCATTTTACCTCCTCTGGATGTGCAATGGCATAATCATACTGCTCTCGCGACGCGTCGTCTTTCAGAATCTGCAATGTAGCAATTAAACTCCATTATCAATAGCACAAGACAGCAACAAAACCTTCAAAAGTTCCCATCTTTTTCCACAAAATTACATGATCCCCAAGTACCTCATAGGCATTGGCAATTTTCACAAACAGCTTTTTCGATTCCGGATCCGGGTTTTTATCCGGGTGACTGAAAATTCAACACCAAAATGTGAATAGATATGATCAAAATATTGACTTCATATCAAATTTTAGAGTAATTTTACAGAGAAAAAATGGCGGGGACTCACTGTTTCAATGAGAGTTTGTAGTAAGCTTTCTTGATTTCCGACGAATTGGCGCTCTGCGTAACCCTGGACAAGGACTTGAAACGTTGGGTAAATATGCAACCAATAGAGGGATAATTCGGGAATCAAAGGGAAAATTGTGAGGCAACTGAACTGACCCGAGGAGATCGTAGCAGTCGTCCTCGTCGCAGTATATGGCCGTAGACGAAGTGATGAGATAGCACAGCATTAGAGCTAAAACGACCGAGAACCACCGAATCGCTGCCGGTGGCGCCATGGTTCCGACGGAGCTCTGGATTTCTCTGATAATGGATTCCCGAGGATTGGAGCGCTTGATAACCAAAATATAAATTAAGTCAACAGATCTGGATTTTCAAAAAATGTTAGCCGTTGGATTTGCATACACTCATAGGTGATTAAATGATGTGTAAGAGCTGGCCGCTGGATCCTCCTAACCAAGCCTATCAGGTCGTTGAAATTTTATCCAATGGCTACAATTATTATAATTTTTAGAGGGGCCTCCTGTTTGTAGCCGTTAGATAAAATTTCAACAGTCCGATGGGTTTGGTCAGGAGGATTCTCACCTTTTGCTCAAGAGAGGATCCTAATCCGTATGTTTTGATATGAATCTAATGTATTGCATAGTCATAAGTAGAGTCTAATAGGTAGAGCAATTAAAGTGTCCATAATTTGAAAACAAAATTGCACTGACTTTTGTTTAATGTTTTATCATGACTCTTCCAGAATTAACATTGAACTTTAAGTTACACATCAAATCTTATCATTTCACAAAAAACTCTCATCATTTTTAGTATAAAATATATCATTCTATTAAAAGAATTAAAAAAAAAATTTACTCATCAAATCTCGTCGTTTCATCAAAAACTCTGTTCAACTCCTATTTTGAATTTTCCATGCGATTCCTGTAGATTAGTATCCAAATTTGAATTTGAATTCGCATGAAGCTATGAGAACTACAAGTAATTTTACATGTTTTTGTTCAGTCGTTTACAACAGTAAGCTTCATTTTTGCTGGTATTTGTTACATGATTCTAGTCTACATGAGTCGCAAGTATTATACATTGATTGTCTTACGTAAGTAATTGCTCAAGTGGCTTTTGACATTGATTGTGTTAGCTTCGGGAGCTTTTAACATTACCAAGATGGAGGACTACATCTTACTGTTAGAATCATGTAAAATTACTTATTCCATCATGATAGATAGTTACAATACGATAGGTAATTTAGCTTGTACACGTACTTATATGGCAAGTAGTTCAGACTATAAAAGTACTTATATAATAGGTAGTTTAGATTATAAAATATCAATTGAAATCTAAGTTTATGCCGACTAATATTATAATATGATAGGTAGTTTAGCTTGTACAAGCACTTATATACATGTAGTTTAGATTGTAAAAGTACTTATATGATAGGTAGTTTAGATTGTAAAAGATCAGCTGAATTCTAGGGTTTATGCCGACTAATAGGATACCTGAGTTGAAAAAAAAATAGAAAAATAATATAACTAATAGCAAGGCCCCAAGAGATTTATAGGTGTCCGAAATTTTAGAAATATCATAAATTAATTTTAGGAAACATGTGGTGCGAATAAAATGACTCTAACTTTGGCTTATAGCACACAGTTTTTTGTGAAAAAAAAAAATTGAAATTTTTAGCTTTAAGAAATATTTTGCGCTAGAGTTAAGGAAAATATTGCAAAACCTTTAGATGTAATCCTACCGATTATTAGGTCCTGGAACTATTTTTTATTGATTCTTAAAGTGAGAAAATAGAAAAATATCTTTAAATTTAGTTTTTAAATCATTGATTACAAGTGTTTAAAAATGAATTATAATATATTTTGCACAGAATACAAATATGATAGTTTGTTGTTATGGTAAGAGAAA